GCTTATACAAAGTCATAAAATATGGCAAAAATTCAATAGAGTATACTTGTATTGCATACCGGGCGATGCTTTACCGAATGGAATACAGAAAATCCAATATAAATTTTTAGGTGCCCAAAGGAGTTTGAATAAATTTTAATAAGCCAATCTTCGATCATTGAACTAAATATGATGGCAAAATTGTAAAAGGTCAATACAACAAATATCAGCGAATATTTTCCATTACACTATTTAAAAAACCTAACGACATCGAGCTGGACAATAACATATCAAATAAGGGTTGGTTTAAAATAAAAACATGCACATTTTATTCCACATATCAAAATAAACTAGCTATCATTATGTTTCTCTTAGGATCAAACTCATACTCGGTTCTTAAAACGTCCTTGTCCCCTAATGCCTTCTTCGAATGAATTTCATTTAAAGGACGATTTAAGCAATAAGGAAGCTTCAAGGAACTACTATGACCCTCAAGTCGTTTGATAAAAATAATTGATAATTATAATAAAAATACGGCTACAAAACGTTGATAAAACCTTATTTTTGAAGTTAAGGTTCAAACAACCCTCCATCAACTGTTAAAAAATATCCTATAAGCAATCATAAAATTCATTTCTAACCTTACTTAGTTCATATTCTAAGGAAATAGCGTTTTGTAACCAGTTAAGATTTTCAAATTTAATATTTTAAAAGTATATCTCAAATACTCCCTAACCATAGGCGGAACAACCATCCATCTGATACCAGACTTCCTGATCTTCGCGAACAACTTCTTCTAGTGCGGGTTCAATTTGATTTTGTAATAAGTTCAAATAGGTTTCTGCTGTGAGGTTAGAGTGCATAAAAAATAGGTCAATAGTATGATGTTCGCAAATTCCCACCATGACATTTATTTTTTGACAATATTGGCTTCGAGTATGAACAAAACGATATTCATCGTGTTGGCTCCAATATCGACAGTTTTGGTTCATTGTTGAGTGTGCATGTGCACTCATCAGTGAAAGCAATATTTTTAAAAAAATCCCCATCATGATTTGCTTTTTCCATCATTTTAAAACCAAATGCTTTCTTTATAGCCTTCTCGGAGCTCTTAGTGCTTTTCGTATTTATAATAAACATATTTGTGTTTTTTTAATGTGTACAACGCTATGGTTTGATGTTTATTTACATCTTATCCAAGAATCCTGGTACTAATCATTTTTGTTTTGTTTTGTAATATCTTCCATTGTGCCTTTCTTCTGTTCCATATTATCGATATTTTCAGCTGAACATTTGCAGTTATTTATTACTGTTCCTTTGGACTCGAATTGGGTAATAATACGTTTAACTCTTGAAATCGGGATTATAACTTTGGCAAGAAAATAAACTGAAAACATTTCACAACACTGCTCTAAAGCTATTTCCTGCATAATACCACTTAATTATGGTTATGGTTGCTTTTTCTTCAATTGAATAACACATATTTAGCTTTAATTAAAGCGCGTTTAATAACGTATAACAATCACAAATACAAATATTATTACTGTCACGAATTTTCGGGTTTTCAATGTCAAAATGTGTTTTGCTAGTGATTAATTACATAAACAATAAATATTTTCTAACTGTACTATCACATTTTTTCAAAAAGTTATATTACAATTTTGCTATAAAATGTACAGGGGAGCCAATATTTGGCCGCCTAAAAATGTACATTAGAATTTCTGTATTCCTTTCGGCAATGCGTTATATGTTATTTTTCAAAATATATTTTTTTATTGACAGCTTGTAATACATCACTTAAAACTCTTATTGTACACAAAGCATTTAAAAATTGAATCGAGTAGTAATTCAGAATTAATGATCCACCGTATTCTTAACCTTATTATATTTTTAAGTTTTAATGATAGAATTAAAATAACGTCTACATTTAGACAAATAAAACATTCCAAAGACGTGTTTGAGGGATTTATAAAAAGCTATGTAGTTTTGAGTTTTATTCTCTCTTTACTTTTTTGAAGTCCTGAATTTTTGTACATACATAAGATTTATAAGGAAAAAACATGAATCTCTCCTTCTTTTCTACCTAGCAGGATCACTTATGAATAATAGCCTTTCTGGAGAAAACCAGCATGACATCACAATTTTTAATTTCGTTTTTTTTTATTTATTAGAACAAATATCTACATTTATTTATTTTAAGCATTTTGAAAATCATTATTCACTAAAACTACAAACAAACTAACTTTTTGCTTTCAAGTTACTCAAGCAGTCAATTCAGCTCTACACTTAATTAACGCCATGTACAGCTTTTCTATATTTCTAATGTCTTCTCAGGAACACAGGTGCACAGCAAAAGATTTGTTAAATGTTGATTGAAAATATTAAATTTGTGAACACGTATTATTCTGTGTAACACACGAGTAAAAAGGACAATTCTAATTGAATAACTGGCAACAAATGAATAACATTGAAACAACCTTGACCTCGCCAATATGTAGACGAACTTGTTAACATTTCTTTAACGGGCTCCGTGTTGGCCTATATTGCCGTGAGATCAAAAGTGTTAGGGGCTCTCGTTCAAGTTTGTAACTTTTACGTCATAACCTATAATATGCGAAATGAATGAACGAACCTATTGCCATCGCAATATAAAATAGGTTGACCTATGACACTACTTGTTTTAAATTTAAAACCAGTGCAGTAGATAATAATTTCTATGATGATGATGGATGCAGGTTTTGTATGTCTTGCATCTTTTGCTTTGATATTATGCTGCAAGTCAAAATCAATGCGAATCCCCACCCAGTTGGAATTTGATTCGAAACAGATATTGTGGCAGATTGAAGTTTGAAGGTATTTTGCAGGATTATTTGCTTATCAAATCAGAACAGCCTTTTCAATTTAGAAAACAAAGAAACTCATTTAGTTTGGTTTCCCCATGTCATAAATTGTAAGAAGTTTGCTCATTAGGGATGTTATCCATCTCAAAGCAGATTTATAATTCTGGTCGCAGTTCTTGTCACGTGAGCGTGCAGCCTAATTAATTTCTCCGCTGTGTCTGACAGAGTAGAACCAAAGAACCTGAACTATGCGATATTTACACAGTAAAAATGCGTTATCTGTCGGCTGTTCAGACAGTAAAAGTTTATCGTTTATCGCATGCAAAACGATAAAAATATTTACTTAATTCCGAAATGAGCGAGCACAGAAAACTTATTGTGAAATAAATCTTTCATTTAATTAGCATGTTCGTGTACGAAAACAAAATTATTTCGGTTACTTGCGATAATCCTACGGATAGCATTGTACTCTCTCAATTAAAGTCCTTACGTTCGCGATTTCGCTTCGACTAATTATTTTGGCATTAATTACTGCACTACACACAGAAAGCAATTTGAAAAAGCCTGTCGTTGACACAATAAAAAATTATTTTGGAAAATTGTGCGTCCATATTAAAATAAAAATTCACCTGATTAAATATTTATTTAATTCGTTGCCGTTCAAGGTTAGCGGTAGGTTAAATTTAAGTATTACGCCGAGCCGTTCGCGTGAAAACAAATTAGCAATAATTAAATAAACAAACACATAAATACTGCTGGATCCACCCAAAACGTGCAATTAATATTATCTGTAATAATAACACAAAATCTGAATTACTTTGACGTATGACAATAAAATTTTTCAAAAAAAAAATGCAAAGTTATAAAATACAATAGAAAATATCAACATGAAGTTAAAACCATCTAAGGTATCAATAATTTTTGTAGATCTCCCTCCGTTAGACAAACAAAATTGATTTTTTTAGCTTACATCATCGTTAAAAATTGAAATTCGAACAATTTTTGCAAAAACCGCAAGTAAACATTTAAAAGGTCTCCTGCCAATAACCATAAATCTGATGGATTCTAAAATAAAAAAAAGTGGAAAATGAATAATTCAAATTACCTCGTTATACACATAGTTATTTCAACGAAACAAAACGGAATTTGTATTTGGTATTTTTCTTTAAATTCCTAAACAACACAAGTTAAAATAACGAATCGGGATTACACCGACAGATATGAAGCAGTAATTTTTTACTTTCTCTTTCTGAGGGTCCGTTTAGTGCCTATTATATACGTCTGAAGGTCGTCAACGTTTTGATTTACACAGCGCTATAACTAACTAAACTTGGCCCGTTTGTGGACGACGCAATCATTTTCTTTACCGGAGGTTCATCAGCGTCTCAACACAGCCGTTGGGTATCCTATGAAATTTTGGATGTTATGGCATCAAATTATAAAATTCATGTGTTCAATATAGCTAAAGGAATATGGAATTGCGAGTTAATAAACTATTAATTTCTTTGTTAACTAAATTTTTGTGGTTGCTTGGTGGGAAGAATGTTTAAAATAATTCGCTATTTGTACAGCTGTTTTAAGTTGTTAACGGTCCTACTGTTCGGGATAAAATTACATAACATATCTTTTGCATGGATTTTTTGCCACTATCTGAAGCTTCCCATTTTCGAGATACATCTGCTACATATCCTGATCCCTGCAGTAAGCATGACATCCTTATTACGAAAATATTTGAATAAAAAAATACCTTTTCAATTGATACAGTTAAGATTAAAAACAGAAATACGAAGAAACTTACAGAAATATCTATTAAAAATATATTTTTTTAATAAAAAAAAAAGTAAAATCGAATTAATACCGGAAGGAATAATACATATCCCCACAATAAATGAGATCTATGACAAAATATGAAAATGTCGTATATAATAATTGCATACGCCGTTTTTGAAGTAATTTCTGTCGAAGTTTTACTGGTTCTGGACAGTTTCTGAAAAAATAGCCACAATTTGACAATTCCTTTTAAAAAGCAACAAGAAAACTATCATTTTGTATTGTGAATTGTGAATTCGGTATGATTTCGCACCCGCAATAATTAGGCTTAAAGACTCATCACTTCCTTAATTTCAATCCGTACGAATTCTAAACTAGAAGACTGCGCCTTCAACTAAGTGCCCTTTGTAGGAAACATTCACCAGCACCACCCAAGAAGGTGACCTCTCCACCGGTGCTCGTACTGTAAAATTCGAAAAAGTGACGGTTAGGAAGACGGTGCGCCAAATTACGTCGTCGAGTACTTCACATTCCATTAAAAAAGTGTTATCGACGAGTCGAACACCATCAGAGGAAAAAATTGACGATTCTGCCTATGTATCACAGTCCAACGGCAATTTTGCAACTTCCAAGACATCCAGTCAAACATCTTTAACCGGAAAGTTTTCTTCAGAAGAAAGTCTTCGCAGAACTCCATCCAAAGAACGATTAAGGGACGAGTGGGACAGTAACAGCAGTAGTAGCAAGGTTACTAGTTCCAGTTCCGAGTGGTACAATGAATATAGAACTCAAAGTATACAAAGTGGGTCGAGTAAATTGGAATACGTCAGAAGCAAATCTCAGTATGAAGAGCATATCGATAACATTCGAGGTAATGGTTATATATTTAGTATTCTAAAATAATTATTTTTGAATAAATATAACGAAATCGTCAAAGTTCTGGCCTTGTGAAAGTGTTTTCGATAATAAGTATGTAGTAATTTTTGTAATTTATATTTAATTTTTCATGCCTAATACTGCATATAAAAGTTTATAATACATAAACTCCCAAAATATAACTGAAATTTTAATATAAATTTACTAGTAAATTTGTATTGCCAATTACATAAATTTATTAATTTGCAATTTAAATAATTAATAAATCATAATTTCCCACTTTCCTATGTGGTGGTTTTATACCTTTAAGATTCATATTGTATACGTCACTGTTTTAAAATACTTGTGTCTACTTTATATTATTAAGTTTGGTGGGGAATATGGTGATAGCGTGACTAATACAATTCCTCAAAAAATAATCTACGAAAAAAATCAATATCGCTGCCTCTGTGTGAATACGGTTTAGCTCACTTTCATTATACATATTTGTGCCCAAACCTAATATTATACACGGATCAGGCATTGTCTAAAGCTTCAGGTATTATGGAGCACTTTGCTTTTATGGTATTATAATAGAGATTATAATATACAATATACGATGATTATTAGTAATTTTCAGACTATTTTCTTTGTTTGAAATGATAATTGGTGAGGTCCAATGCCACTCTTTTTCACTGTGCCCAAAATAATGAGAAACTATAAGAGATGAGTAAAATGGGTAAAATTTAGCCTAATTAAAAAAAAAGAATTTAGCTGATTAATAATAAACATTTTCGAACCGTTTTTTTAACCGTTACGTTGTTGAATTTGGAATAAAAAACTTTTTAGAATCTCATATCTCAACGAAACAAGCAATATATAAAATTTCTATACCCCATTTTCTTATACCGCTGATTATACAATAAGTCAAAAAATCATTGCTTACAGTACACCTCGAGTGTGGTTTTTCTTGTCAAAGAAACTTTCATCGGTTACTGTAATACTATTAACAAATCTTCTGGATTCCTCTTGTATGAATCGACTTGCTGAAGTTTCGCCAACCATCCAGTTGTGCTTAATTGAAACTGTTCTTGAGAAGTCAACAAGATTATTGGCGAAACGTCAGCAAGTTCGATTCATCAACAACGACGCAGGCAGTTGTAGGTAGGTAATATGTTATTATCATAATATTTGTTTGCGTCGAGATTAACCATTAATGTCAATAGGCAATAAGTTTCTATCGATAGTATACGGTAATCGCTTTAACCGGTAAATTTGACTCTCAGAATTTCGGAAACGATATGTTGAAATAAATGGCTCGATTGCAGGAACTTGAATTATTCGTTTATCCGATAGCTTTCAAAAGATATTTTCTAATTTTGGAGTTTCAGGGGAAACTTCGAACTTGACGGACACACTCGTAAACGGAAAGCTTAAGGCAGTTCTGAATAAATATGATAATTGCGGCTTTTTTCAATGGAGCCTTGGAGTGGATATATGCGATATTTTAAGGTACCGTTAGATAAAAATGTCTCCGAAATGGACACAAAATATTAAGCATCTATCGTTTGCAGCACGAAACCTTTTTTTTTCGAAAAGCTCAAGGCAATAGAACTAATATATAAATAAATAAAAGTTTTAAAGATCACTACATAATGCACATGTTCTATTAAAATGTCTGGGGAACTATTCAAAATGCTTAATTGGATTTGCCATAATAAATGAGCTCGCAAGGTTTTAAACTATAAGTGAAATATTTAAAGAACTCAATTAAATACTGTTATCAAAGCTTGGTTATGTCCATGGAAGGCTACATTATAAAAATATTCTCTATTTCAGGCTTTAAAAATCAAAATAATTTTGTAATTTAACACACGTCTTCATAGTAACTAGCAACCTCAGCGTACCAATATCCACGATTGAGCTAATAAAGTTGTTAGGTCGAGTGGACGGATGATCGGCTCAAACTATCATCAGTAGTCTCCGGAACTAGTTTAGTATATACAACGGACAGCGATGCACTTGTCGTTAATAAATGAAGACAAAGTTTTCATTCTGCTTTTTCCGAGGAACAGATCGCTTCTAACTGCGCAGTGTTTAGCGACATACGGCTCGTTTTTCTCTGATTCTGATATCGAATGAAAAAAAACCGGTAAATCCGTTATTCCGGCATCATAACCAAGATTTGCCATAAATTGTTTTATGTCTACTGCATTAATATTATACAGATAATTATCTAACGAGAAGAAGATCTTTACAATAATAAGTAAACAAACACTGCCCCCTAAATGATTTTCCTTCGTGATCGAGACATCCAGTCTTCAAGAAAATTCAGTACCGTCGATAGGAATCACATTTCTCAAGTCTCTCATTAATATATTTTTCGATGTCATCAAACGCAAAAACCTCTCCCATATTACTATTAAAACTTAATGGTTTTCCATAAACTGGCGGCCACGCGATAACCATACATAAAGGTTTAAATATAACATGTGATGTCACGTCTATAAACTTAACACGGCAAAAAAATTTTGTTGATGCAAAAAAGTCGACAATCGGTAGTTATATAATTGTTGATAAATGGTATAAATTAAAACCGAATACCTTGAAAATTGTAATGTAAATGCTTTCGTTCCACGACATTAAAATTTTAAAATAGGTTAACGTGTCTAGGTTTGTTGTGATTAATTGTAGTAATTGATACAGGTCTGGCACGTATTTTAGTGAACTGAAAATATTACTTCGCGTTAATTGTTATATCGTTCATAATTTATCCAGGGTTCTGTGGTATCTCAAAATTTTTTAAATTTTTGCTGTTAGCACAGCAAGAAAATTTTAAGATTCTTGATTAGAAATTGACCACTTGCGTAACTTTCGTTTTAAATTTTTTACTAAATTATACGGAATCGAGTTTTTAAGAATTAAAAACATTGTACGTAGGCGGCTCAAAGAGTTGTAAACCAATGTTACATTTACTTAATGTACTTATAATAATATTCATAAATAATAGTAATAAAATAAAATAAATGAAGGAAAAAGCAAAAAAAAAATACTCCATACACCATACTCGATTCAATAAAAAAAAACAGTTCCGTAGCTCAAATTTCGGTTATAGTCAATTACTCTGTACTATTCAGTGATAAACTACTTGCATAAGTGAAAAATATGGCGTTTGAATTAATCTAGTGATAACAGCTCAAATCTCTTATTTTCTAATTTTTAATTTTCAAAACAAATGTATTAAAACCGAAATATACAATATGACGTATTTTTACTTACACTTTAAATTTACTCCATTAACTTGGTCACAACATTCTGTGTAGCGCAAATAACTGAATATAAACAGTGAAATAAAATGATTCCATGAATTTCTGAGAAAAACAAAAAAAAAGCGTAGTTTTCTTTTACTCTTTCGAAGAATATCTTGTTTTTTGAGTAGAATGCATGGCCTTAACAGATCTGGAATATCTTCTTTTGTGTTCTGCTGTTTTTTGTTATATGAAACGCATTTTTCTATGAACTAAATAAATAAAGGGTTTTTCTCTATCTGAAGATATATAATATGTTTATTACATTTATCAAAATAAGCGATCTTATCATAGTTCCTAGGGACACATTTTGTTTATATATGTGAAAGCGCTTCAACGTTAGTTAAGTAATTTTTTTGATTTTTTTTCCTTATTAATGAAAAATATATTTTTAATTTATGCCTTCTACGCTTCATTCTGCTATGGCTCATTTTAACACAAAATGTTAAAATTATGAATAATTCAATATCAATGCTGGGCCAAACCCAAAAAAATACAAGAAGGGAATTTGGACAAAAAAATTGCACATTCTGGGTAAGATATTTGTTATCCCGTCTGACCTTAATCTTCGAACTTGACACCAATTATTTTCCTAATACCATTAAAGTAATAAAACTGTTTAAAGTTATTTTCCAACAAATGAATATTTAATTATTCACGTTACAATAGTAAAAGAAGGTTTTAAATTAAATCAAAACACTGCAAGGTCCTTTCAATAAATATTTTGCGTGTTTATATGAAACATTCCGTTTGAAGAACGTCGGAAAACAAGTTAAAGGCTTTTTATGAAAACACTGTTCGGGCGCCATTTGCGTGGGGTTTTGTGTCATACATCAAATATTGATTCCGCCAGTAAAACGTGGTTTGGTTTTTATATTACATAAATATTGTATAAGCTGTGGTGGTACAACTGCTTTTCTTTTCTTTTGGTGGTTGACACTACGTCTCCAGTGCTCTGTAGCTCGTTCTTTATAATAATATTTTTGTAATTTCATTAGTTAAGATTTCAGGAAAATTCTCGTAGGCCTCAATGTAGTGTAAACTTGGCAGCCATGTTTGTTTTGGTATATTTGAGTAAAGATGCTTGAGAGTGTTGATTTTACTGAATCCGTTGTGGGAGGGGAAAGGAAAATATGTAATGCATATTATTTTAACAAGAGTACTTTGCTTTGTCATGCAAAACTAAAGTGGAGGCTTTTGTTTCAGATGAACAGGAGAGGGTTCAAAAGAAGACTTTTGTTAACTGGATCAATTCCTATCTATCTAAGGTGAGTATCAATTTGTCGATTTTTCTTTATTCTGTAAGTACAGAGAAAAAAGGAAGCAATGACATTATATGACATTACATCTAAGGATTATTAGGATTTAGATAACTGTCTCAGCACTTCTCTGAAAATCTAAAATTCAAGTTGTCAAAATTTGACAAATTTCTTCATCGTTCATATTACATCAACATTACACCAATAATTCCGATATACCTCTTTATGTAGCACTAGCTTTTACCAACTCCATAAGGTAAAATATTACCGATTTTAATGTTTCTACTGTATTCTGGCTTGTTTTTTTTTAACTATTTAAATATGAGGGAGGCAGCTCTTCAAAAATTACTATTAAGTGGTCTAATTAGCCGTGTGACTCTGGCCTAGGTCTTTGTTGCTGTTATTGCCATTTTTCACTAAGTGGCGTGGTTACTTACTTAAATGGCTGCGTTGCTTTTAAGCAAGAGAAGTGTTGTAATGAAAAAGCCAATGAAAATCGGCAAAAATGTAAAGTAAATGTACTAAATCTTTTCTAACGAACAGAAAACAAATACATGCAACTTCTTTACGCAATATCATTTTGTTACATGGAAAAAATAAGAAATCTGCTGACAGTAAGGCGTTATGGAATCTCATATTTGTTTCGCTTTAGGGTGCTCATCCTAATCGGAATATCCTCTTATTTAGTCATATTTCTTCTCACCTTATTCCCGCCAAATTTCGTTGCTTGTTATTGATTTTAGTCCACCAAATCCGTAAAATGTCCCTTAAACTTCGACTAAGCCAGTATTTGTTCAACGTCTGGGTTCTAGGGATTTTGAGTTTTAGGAATTGGAAAAAAATGTAAAAAGGTTTTGCAAAAGTGTCCTATATTTTTTTTTCTTGATATTTCCAATATTTGTAAAATTATTTGTGGCAATGTGTAACATTCGCTTTTTCTCAAATTTTAATCTGGACTAGAGTAGAAAAACGCTTTGCCGGTTGTCAGCGTGGCCATGTACAAATAATTTACAGCACAGTTCGAAAAAGGATCATTTTCAGCTCTTCATAACGTTTTAATTGGGTTGATAATATACTTGTCGGGGTTTGGTGATAATGATTTAATTAAACTTACAGAAAAAAACACATTTATTAAAATTTCGATCCAAAGTTTACAAACTCTGTGACAAAAGGGCCAAAGATACTTTAGAATTTATTTTTAGTTTTTAAATCTGATTAAAACCAATCTGTTACGTGATAGAACTCCCGGGGACGAATTTTATTTACCTTATTTACCCTCTATGAAACGAAACCGAATAAAATCAAAATGCCTCATGACATTTTCAAAAGTCAAGTTACATTGATTGGATTCAACACGAAACAACGTTGTACGCTGAATAATGCCTAACTGCCTGTCGGAGCACGCGATGCTGTACCATGCTCCGCGTCTCGAACCAATCCGATGGATGGCTTTTCATTCATTACGTGGTTAAGTGGAACTTGTTAAAAATAGATTAAGAATCGTAAATAGTAAATTAAATAATAGTGAGATAGAAATAATTTCATATATACAAAACTTTCAGCCGTGTTTTGTTTCCAGCATCATTTTGCGTTAAGCAATAGCCTCTAAATTTGTCCATAAATTAAATAATAAATAATAAACCTTAATCTAAAAGCTACCATTTAATTTCGTAATGCCGCATAAATGAACATTAGGATTCTTGCCACATTTTGTGAAATTTGTGCTTTAGCGCTTCTATAAATAAAATATTTTCATTAGCAAATTATTATTATATTATCGTGTTCGTGTTTTGGTTAGTTGATGTTACTTGTCTAATTTTGTTAAACATATAAGAGAGAATAGAAACAAGTAACTCTCCTATGTCGTGCAAGGATATAACACCGACATGTGACTGTGTTTAACTACCCGATCTTGCCATAGGTTGTATATTAGTTGGTTAGTTGGTTAATTATGCATTGTTAAAAAATGTTTATATGAACTTATAGGAACTGAATGAAATTGTTTTTTAAGACTATTATTCACGGTAGGTGGCGGGTCATTAGTAGTTAAAGGAAAATTAAAAAACAGAATCATCAAAATTTAATATTTTACGTAGACAATATTCCTGTATCAAGTTTATTTGGCAAGAGCGAAGCGAGTGTTCAATAAACGAATGACATGAGTTTATCGAAAGTGTTGTATACAATACTTTTTCTATGACAGTTAGTTTTTGGGTACATTTTCGCAAAACAACACGAATACATTCACTGACATACCGTCAGAATTGACAAACGTCAAAATTCAAGGCGTGGGAAAAATCTCCGAACACATCCGATTGCTGGCAAACCCGTGCGGTAAAATCCCGGAAATGTCCGACGTGGCTCGGATCTGTGGGAAACGAAGCTGACGTGGTATACAGAAGGGAGTAGAAAAAATATTTTTAAGAATATGTTTAATAGGAAAAATAGTGTCACTTTTAATATAATATAAAAATTTTCCCTCCGCTATTGCTTTCTGACCAATTTTGTATAGTGTCATGATTTAGTTCATACAAAAATGACGTAGTATGCTTTGAGTCACAACAACAAAAAGATTAAAGATAACCCTTTTGTTGGCATAAAATTTAAAACACTAATGGCATTTCGTCAGACAATCACAATACACTAACATCTAAATCGACTAACTCCATTGTTAATTGCTCCTTACCATTCAGTATTAATTAAGACAGAAACTTTTATAATGGCAGTTTAAAAAATAGTTTCTACGAATATTTACTTTCATGTCGAAATCCTAATTACTTAGAAATTGAAACCATTGAAATAGGACCAGCATGTTTTTTTCTAGAGAAAATTGCTGCTATCTATGAACCCTAATATCACATTTATTAACCGTTCATTGAAGCTAGCTTTTGAACAAATAATGTATAATGCAATAAGTTACATAAACTCTACTTTAGTCAAAAGCAGTGGCGACTTCGTTGGATGAATTTTAAGGTATTCTGCAATTCTTGCAAAAAATTTAACCAAAAACGGAGAATTATTAATTGCCTCAATTATTTGTTAAAGTCAATCAATCAATCTATCCTTAAATTTCGAAGAATTTTTTCGGTGCTGGCTTAAAGTTGTATTTAATTCAGACAAAAAATATCCCGGGATTCTCGGAAGTTTTACTCTCATCATGTCCCCAGAGAGTCAATTCAATGGCGGAATACAATTAAAAATTCTCTTCACATTAATTAAATTAATTATTTGAAACATGGACCGTTTTAAATTTGATTGATGCTGTGGGGTATTTTCGAATAAGAAGAAGCGTTTATTTTAACATCAGGTGATATGCATTGTTGTTAAGAGTTTAATCTGTATTTTTGTTTCTTTTACATAGTTCTTCAATTTCTAAACAACAACAAGACTATGGACTATATTCGCGATAGAATACAGATAAATATTTATTAGAATCTTACAATTAAATATTTTTTGAAGGTGCCTGTTTTTTAACACTTTAAAATGTGGAGACCGTGGAACAAAGCAGATGTTCCCCTGCTAGAAAAAGATATAGAAAATAACGCAGAATTTGAACACAAAGCAAATAAAAAACGGATCCTTTTATCTTCGGATACTAAGCAAATTGTTTTGAATGTTTACAATTTTATAATAAATTCAGTAGGGGCAATAGGAACAGCAATGAAAATAAGTGACATGACCAAATTTCCGCAGTCAACTGTAAGAAAATTTGTTGCAAATGGGATAGTCAGGAGGAAAGTGAGAGAATGTGCTGGTATTCCTCGAGATTTTAAAGAGCAAAACGCAGATCTAATTATGTGTATACTCTACAACGCTTATAAAGTGAATAGTGGTTTAACCATAGAACTGCATAAAAAAGTAATGACAAACTTAAATATTAGTTGTGCCAACGAGTCGTTGGGTACTTTTTTGAAGAAAATGGATTTTCAGTTCTAAACAATTAATAAACGTCAAGTGCTAACGGAATCTCAAAGAATTTCGCAATGGAGGGTGGATTATTTAAATTAAATTGAATAATTTCGAGAGCAAAATATTCCCATAGTGTATTTGACGAAACGCAGTTTGGCACTCACGACAAAGTAAAAATAGGATGGTGTGATTACAGTAACAGTACTAGACGTACCGCCTTGACATTGAAAACGCATAGTAATTCTTCGTGCTGGTCCAAAAAGGTTAATTGGAAGATGTATTATTTTTGTCTGCCAAAAACGTCAAAGATTCAAGTGTGTATTACCATGAAAACATGATTGCGGAAATATTTGAGGACTACTTTGAAAATAAACTGTTGCCCAAACTATTGCCAAATACTGTTATTGTTTTAGAAAATTAAATTAGAAATTAGAAAAATTCCAAATACTTCTTCAAATATAGAAGAAATTAAAGAATTTCTTTACGAAAATGACTTATATTTTGAAGAGAGCTACACAAAAAAATAACTTTTGGAATTATTAAAAATAAATCGATTCGATAAATTAATGATGATACTAAGTAGAAATGTAATGAAATAGAACGTAATCAATTGTTACTTTAATATATTTTTTATGCAGATGTTTCAAGAATTGCTCGTCGAAAAAGATTGAAAAAATACTTATATCCCCCTTGTAGTAATTGTAGATAAATTCCTAAGACGGTCCTGGAATGATTACGAGTAACGGTCTGCTCGGAAGGGTGTTCTATAAGGGGTTGCGGTTTTAGAGTAATTAACAGTAGGCAAAGTTAATCACGGGGTTGGTTGTAAAAGCACTATATTTCTGGTCGAAGTATAACTGTTCAATAACACCAAACACAACCCCCCACTCTAACCCACTAAGGGTGGGGAGGACGCCCCTTTCAAATCTTAAATGGAAACCCGCAATTTTCATTGTAGATTCGGATTCTATGCCACAAAACGTTTGATTTTGTCCCAAGTTTTCGAGCAGTTTTTTATTCAATATTCCATGGATTTTTCTTTGTTTTTCGATCATTATATTATTCTCGAACTATTTCCTCTTTTCCATACTTTCTGAATTTTGACAAATTTTATATTCCTACTTCTTTTTCCATATCCATCGAAATAAGACTTAGTACCAGACGATATTCTCGCCATATGATGAATTCACTTCACGTTATATTATTTTTATTTAATTCCTTTATTTTTTATGTTGTAGCGAGTTCCACCGTTGAGGATAGATAATCTGATCGAAGACTTAAGAGATGGAACTAGGTTATTGGCATTACTGGAAGTGCTGTCAGGGGAAAGACTGGTATGTAACGATTCGACGAGTATACATTTCAAAACATAAAACAAGGACATTTATTTTTTTCCAGCCGGTTGAGAGAGGACGGGTCTTAAGACGACCGCATTTTCTTAGTAATGCAAATACAGCTCTGCAGTTTTTGGCGTCTAAACGGATTAAACTGGTCAATATCAACGCGAGCGATTTGGTAGATGGAAGACCGCCAGTAGTGCTGGGACTTATTTGGACCATTATTTTATACTTCCAGGTAAGTTAAGGCAGCTTATGTCTACAACTTGTTTTAAGGAGGCGGTATGCTGGTATACTAGTTTGGACGTAGAACATATCGGGCATGCATAATCAAATTTTACCCCGTTTTAAATAAATTAAAATTAAATACCAAATAAAATGAGAATTAAATTCTGCCCAATGATTAATCCAATCAGTATTGTCCACTGTAAGTAGACAAGTTTTATTTTCTTAAGGTGGTGAAAAAAGACCAAAATGGTTTAATTTAAACTAATCCAAACTCGAAGTTCTATATTTGAAGTTCGCTGCTGACATTCCTCTCTAATTGGCCGCCAAGCAATCATCAAACTGAGGTATAAAAATTTCTACTACTTCTGTATTAACGTTTGTATCACACAGAAAGCATTAAACAATAAAAGAAATCTAAACTTCAGTTTAAAATAACCTCTTAAAAACGAAAACGAACATCACAAACGAAAATGTTTAGCTTTATTCATTACTATCATAAAATGCATTCATACTGGTAACCTGGCAAGCAATGGCTCATCAGAGCCAATTCTCCAAGAAAAGTAATAACAAAAAATAAAAATCACATTAAATAACTTAATAATATATAACTATATAAACTGACCAAAAAATAAGTACGGGTAAGAATTGTTTATGTTCACGCTCCAGTATCCAAAGTCTAGCTATTAATTACTCAGCTCAATTAGTCAGTATCGCCAAGCACATTTATATTTTAAATTTTACAATTCCCCCAAGCTTCGTAAGGAATGGTACTTTTGTCTGGTAAGTCAAAGAAAACCACCCACTAGCTTTATCGAGTGCTTTAATTAAATATTCAATTCGAATTATTGCCGTATGAGTTCCGAAACTCCAGCTTATCCAACGCTTTACTAGGACAGTAGTTTCAAGTAGATGTTATGGAGATTATAAAAAAAATATGAATTTCACATTTCACATACTAATAAAATGAAAGACATAGTGTCTTTTGCGACACTTTTTACGGTAAATCATCTCTCTAGATTTCAGCACACATTTTGCGCACTCCAAATGAGTTTATTTTTTTTCGTACAGATTGAAGAAAACAGCAGAGCTCTCGAATATCTTGCACGCTGGGGTAGTGCCAGCAGTTTGGAGAGCGCCGGTACTACCTCATCAAAAGACAAATGGAAGCAGGGTGCCAGAAAAACTTTACTCAACTGGGTATCGAACGCTTTGCCGGACGATTCAGGGGTAGAAGTGAAAGATTTCGGAGCCAGCTGGAGGGACGGTATCGCGTTCCTCGCGCTCATAGACGCTATTAAGAAGAATCTCGTGAACATTGCGGCAATGAAAAAGGCTTCTAATAAAGCCAGACTCGAAACAGCGTTCGACGTTGCCGAAACCGAGCTGGGTATCCCGAAAATCCTCGATCCCGAAGACGTGGATGTGCCGAAACCCGACGAAAGATCGATTATGACGTACGTGGCTCAATTTTTGCACCGTTATCCTGAACCTAAAAGTACCGGTCCGGATGCAATCGCAGCTATTCAAGAACAATTCGGAGAATTGTTGTCTTGGTTGCTTCAGAAGACTCAACACTTGGAGCACCTCGAGCAAACCCATTCGCATCCACTCAGCTACGAGACTTATTTAGCAGTCAAATCAGAAACCGACAATAAAGAACTGACATATAACAAACTAAGAACTTTAATGGAATCACAAAGCGCCCTTTCCTTTTCGAGAGAGGGTTGGTCCGATATTACCAGATTATGGGAAAAATTAAGGTGGCAGCTATTTGTTTGGTTGTGGCATTTAGATTCCCGATTGCCAGGCGAATTTAAAGAAATCGGCGAGTGGGTGGCGAAGGCAGAGAGAATGATTTACTTTGATGAAATTCCTACTTTGATGAACGAAGAAACAGCCACTATTATAAGTAGAAAACTGGAAGAGCATAAAGCGTTTTTCGCCGACTTGCCAAATATTCAACAGAAATTTTCCCAATTATGCCAGACCCCTCTTGCCAGAGAAGTGCCTTCCGAACAGTTAAGTAATATGGCTGTTAGACTGAGTGGTATTCCGCCTAAGGCTGCCCAAAGGAGAGTCAGGCTTAAGTTCCTTGAACACAAGGTAATAATTCACATGAATATTTTGGTTTTATTGTATGTAGAGTGTGATCGCAACAAAATTAAAAGTATGGTTATACAGGGTGTTTTTTAATTGAATGTCAATAATTAAGAGAACAATTTTTGGGTTAACTCTAAAAAGAAATCAACACAAACCAACTAACCAAAAACACAAAATATCTGTAATACCACTTTACATATTTTAATTAAATTTGGCACATATGTATCAAGATGCATTATTTAGTGTACCACATTTTTTTTAATGCCCCAGTGGCAGTCGTACGGAATTTCACATGCTTATTTTGGCAGAAGTTGATGGTACGTTATTCTTACAATTATTTCTGAAGAATTTTAATTTCTTGGCTTTTTTCAACCCGATGTACGCTTGGTCATGAGAATATCGTTAATATCACAGCAGAAAATTATTATCATTATTATTTCTTAATTAAGTTATTGTCTGTTTGTTTTATTAAAATACTTCTAAAAATCTAAAAGTACGAATGGGAAGTATGTAAAGTTAAATAAATAAAATAAATTTAAATAAGAATCGTTTATTATTTATTTTGTTGTAAACTGACCAAAACTAGCTAAAACTGTAAAAATAATATTTTTTCTCTGAAAGACACAAGTAGGTAACTAAAAACGAAATATTTTATTTAGATAAATATTTTATTTTTCCCAATAAAGTTCTCGATTTAACCAGTGCAGTGGCGACCAAATTAACCAAAATATTATTTGTTCATAGAGAGTCAGTTGCGGATCCTTAATTTCCTTAAAAAAAAAAGATATTTACATTAATTGATGACCAGATTTGATCTCTTAACTTTTTTTAGTCCGTCGCAAGATTTTCACTTAAAAATAAAAACTAATTTCTCTGCATCCTGTCATATTAGCGATATTGTTATGACCATGCAGAGAATGCGTTTATTTTGATAAACGGAAAAAGTTAATCTGAATTATGCTTAGAATAGTAACTGAAGTTCAAAAATTCATATATAAGGGTGGTCCGTGGAAAAAAACTTTTTGTTTTTCTCATCATTTTTACGATGCTGTTAATACCTAGAAAAAATATATTTTTTAGAACTTATATAAGCATGCTATTAATTTTCTTGACTACTTGAACTAAAAACGTTAATGGAAATTTCATTGGACAATGTGTCGCATTTTCGATCGTTTTATGATGTATCTCCGTGATTAATAAAGACCCAAGGCAACTTTTTCATGAAATGAAAAGTGGCACAAATGTCATAGCTATTTTGAATTTTTAAATTTTTGAAAATGTTGCATTATTAGGCATTCTTTGCAGCTTGTGCAAGTTATATAATTTTTTTACTTTGGATCCAGTGGCGCAGTCTTTTAATAATTTCATTAGGTTTGTGTTTAACTTTTCTAAAATATATAACACATAAGAATTATTTCAAATAAAAGAAATTTATCTTTAAGGCCATGAAAAATGCAGACGAATTACATAATTTATTACAAAAAGTGGTGTGCATGTGCAATATTAAATGAGAATTGATAATGCACCCAATTTTTCATAATTGTCATATGTTGGCTTCATAGTTAACGAAAGAGAAGGCGAATAATTACGAATTGTCATGACTAAATTATATTAGGAAAACAGACCTTTTTTCCACGGGCTACTCATAAAAAAATAAAATTAAAGATATATGCTTTTTATTTCAAATAACTGGACTGCACAGTGTGTTTAAAAATGTCACATTTTCAAATCATCCTATATCCAAGATACCTATGAATTTTTTATCTGAACCACCTTTGATTTCACACGCTACTTTTATTCATATTGGAGATACGCAGTAAATGGGACACACTGTACATTTGTTGGACACAGAAGGAAATTTTTCATAAAACGAACGGTATCGCCAACAAAATTTCCATAGCTCACTTTAATTTTTGCTGTACCAGGAAATAATATAAAATAAAGTAAGTAATAATGAAAGATTTTTTGACATAAAGCAATCAGAGTTGCTAAGTTAATGATAATCATATGGTGATTGAAATTGAACATCCTGTATCTTATTTGATTGTCGAATTACATGTTTTATATCAAACTTTCAATCCAGGTTTATTGGAAAGACAAATACCAGTTATTAGGTGAAACAGTTAGCTTCCTGATGATTTACGATAAAAACTCGGGCTACTAAATTTAAATATATGATTTCATGTTTAAAACCTCTTAAAATATAATAAAGAAAACTCTAGGCTACTTCACTTTTTTGAAAATAGACTTTTGCACTAAAGCAAACACTGAGTAAATACAAGTGGGTCTTTTACATGTTAAAAACGATTTGTCAGAATTTTGTAAATGTTTGCCACAGAGTCGACAACCAAAACTAAATTAATCTTAACGATTAAATTGCAGTCGGAAACAAGCCATATCACATATCATTTAGATACTGCGGTGTGTTTTATAAATGTTGAGAAACGAAAAAACTATTTTGAAATAAATTTCAAAGACTTAAAGACCAGTTGAATGTGAAACTGTTAGGGTTTGGTCCGATCCGACGGATTTTTTTTTAATTCTAATTCCAAAAGTCAAACTTATCGACAGATAGACTCAATGCTTCTAGTTATAATAATTAGAACCTATATAACTGGTAAAGTTGAACATCTAGTACGTTCGTTTTATTTCAGTGTTGCCTTATTGCATTTTTGCAACTGACCGAAACCAAGCTGAAGCAATGGACCGCGAAGTATGGGCGTGTCGATAAAGTGGTCCAGTTGCTGGAACAATACAGAAATTTCGTTTCCAAAAATCACATATTCCAAGAATTTAATAAAGCGTTTCGTGATATGCAAGCGGTTATCGAAGAATATAAACGTGACGGGGATATAGGTAAGACATTAAATTTTTGTGATTTTTTATAATCTTGTTGACGATATTCATTTGTATCCATTATCGCTTTACAGACAAACGAGAAATCATCGAAATAGACAAATTCATGAGAGACACAGCAGACAGATGGAAAAATGTTTCGATGGAATTACGATGCGTACAGAGCATGTTGGAAGAAGTTGTTGCATATTGGCGAAGATGGGACTCTTTATCGGCAGAATTAGAAAATTGGCTGAGTCAAGCAGATAAAGCTCTACATCTTTCAGAAGACGACAAAATGGAATTTTTCCAGGATATTAGCGTTTGGAAAGACAAATACCAGTTATTAGGTGAAACAGTTAGCTTCCTGATAGCGACGTGTGAAGATAGCATCTCCTTGCAATTGCGGGAAGCGTATCAAAACATGACAGACCGTTGGAATACAATCTATCCCCAAGTCAATCAATACAGCCATGCGGGTGACATCTTGCGAAATAGAAAAGATTTTCGATCTGGGGTCGAGGTTTTATCTAACTGGCTAAGAAAAGCAGAGGAGACTTTGAACACGCCATCATTGGGATCTACAGAACGAATTTGTAAACACAGAGATAATTTGATGAATCTACAATCAGAAGTTGAAGAAATAGAAAATCTGTTTAAAAATATCAGCAAAGCCTTCCAGTCGTTAATTCAAGATCTTTCAAGGGAAGAAGTAGACAAAATGATGACCACACTTAAACAAGAGAAGGAAGCTTTGGTCAAAATAAGAGCACTAATTCCGTCACAAATTCATCTTTTTAATCAACTTTTGATTCAACAAGAGTCACTGGAATCGGGTCAAAAAGAAATCAATGGATGGTTAGATAAAGCAGAGGCTTTGTTGAGCACCTTGACCTTGGAAGCTGATAAGGAACAGCTTAAAGAACAAATAGACAAAGTCAAGCAATTCTTTACCCGAACTCTGTACTACAAATCAATGCTCGAGAGTAAGAACAAAGTGATGCACAACATTGTGAACTCTGTAGATCAAACTAATAATCCAGACGTTGTCCAAATGACCGAAAATATGGAGTTACTCAACGACAGGTTTGCTTATGTCACTCAAAATGAGCAGATGTGGGAACAGAGGCTCCAAGAAGCTTTGCGTTGTTGGCACAACTTCACAGAAAGTCAAAGGGTCATATCAACATGGCTGAACCAAGCCGAGAAATTAATATCGGAAAAACGCATTGATAGCAAAGAAATTGTCGAAGAGCATAAGAACTTCTTCGAATCTGTTAACGAGAGATGGATACACAATCTAGTACAAAGCGCACAAGATCTATGCAATTGTCTTCCCAAAGAGTTACACGCTCCAATTACATCTTCCGTGCATCACTTACAAAATAAATGGAAGGAAGTACTATCGTTTGCACCGCTGCATCTTATGAGACTTGAATTTCGATTGGACGAAAACACTTTTAACTATTACGTAAACGAACTGGAAAGAGAAATTCAAACTGAAAACATCATGATAACTAAACAAGAAAATATAGAAACCATTATTATTAGACATAGAGAGTTCTTTAGTTCAAAAGGTCCTTTGGCCGAAACGCATAGGAGCATGCAAAATTTAGAGAACGTGGCAAAACTTTATTCTAAAAATTTTGCAGAAGACAAGAGCATTGAAGAATCGGTAGAAAAGGCCAAGCAACAATGGCAGAACATCAACATCAAAATAGGGAATATCCAACAGCAGCTTGAGAAAATTCCGGAAAAATGGGAACAGTACCATGGCAAATTCAACGAAATGGTCGAATGGATGGACACGGTTGACAGCGCTTTAAAGAACATATTGACGGAAGTTACTTCCAGTGAAGAGTTCGATAAGGAGATTGCCACATTCAAGGTATGCAAAATTTAGAAAATTGAGTGCAATTTGTTTTAAAACTGTACCTACCTTTGTGTTATTGAAAGTCTTTACAGTTATGTGCTTTTCCGATATTCTGCCATCTCTAAACAAATATAAGCTCAAGAAACAATACAGTGTAATGTTGATTTTTATGTTTATACAGAATGTTTCAAAAAAGCCTATCCTTGACTGGAGATTCGGCATCCAAAAAAGGAAAAAAGTTCTTTTGAATGTGGGTCCAAGATATGGTGTTAAATATTATAAAAAAACTTTATTTTTACAATATGTTGAATATGTTGCGTACGAATTTCTTGAAATTGGCAATTATATTTGCGTTACTGACAGTTTTGGAACTTTTACAATTTAATTTAAATTTGAAAAAATGCCGAAGACATAGTTTACACCTTTTTATCGTTTAAAGAAATAGTCTTTTGAATAAGTGAAAAATTGGGAGATTATGGTCTGTTGGCAATACAATTATTTTGAAATGAATTGTTTGCTCTTAGTTATGGTGAGTAAGAATAGATCATCTAAAATTTTTGCAAAGAAGAACTCCGCTTGAAGAGTTTTTGAAAAAAATAATGCACGAGAGAAAATTTTGATCATTTACCAGAAACTAAAAATACCAATTTTCCATTATTTTGTTAATGATGTATGTGACTATAAAATGATTGCATTCAAAAGAACTGCCCAAAGAACTAATGAATAAAAGAAGGCCTGAGGTTAAGTTTATTGTGTATCAATAGTGTGTATTCATAGAAATACGTTTTATTAATTTTCATGCTCTTTATTTTTTCGTTCGAAAGCGAGGCAAGATACGTAAACCACTCAATGCTAAACAAAATGCACTTTTACTGGATGATTCAAAGTAAATAACAAAATTGCAATTGGTTTTGAATCTCTTGGGTAATAAAAAATGGTTTTTTTTAATATTTAACACCCACGTTTATATGAATTTTTTTGGGATGTTAAATCACTAGCCGAGCATTGGCGCATATTTTTTTAAACTCACAAAATCTATGTACGGAATAGTTTAAATGATTTTGCGAAGACCTACTTGCAGGCTACAGGTCATTATCTTTACTGATAAATGATATATTTGAAAATATCTTCACTTCTTTTACGCATTATTCATTAAACAATTTAATTTTAAATACAGAGTATCTGTCAGGAAGCCGACAGCAAGCGGGAAGACATGAAATGGTTAGTTCAGACACTCGATTCCCTTGCGTCGCATTCGCCCGACGACAAAGCTCTCGCCGAACAGAAAAATCTAGAAAAACTAATCGTGAGATACAAAAATCTGATACCCTCCTTGGAAATAACGATGACGAAAACCGAAACATTGTCAAAATGTTACACTTATCGTCGGGAGGTGCGCCAAATCTGCGAGCTGCTAAGGCGAGTCAGAGACCAATCCGAAAAAACGACGGTGCCATTTTTTGAAAAACTCGACGATTCCGTCAGGCAACAAGAACAGACAGTTTCTCATTTGGACGAGCAAAGGCCGCTTATTATGACTCTTCTACATAAGGGAAAAGAACTCACAAGAGACATCCACGCGCCAAGTTTCGTAGCGGACGATGTCAAAACACTTGAGACAGGCTGGACTGAAACGTACGATGAAAGCGTTGAGAGACTGCATAAACTTGTGAGCACCCATCAGGTTTATACGTCGTACAAAGAACAGAGGAACGAACTGAAGCAGCTCTTGGAGAGAGCGGAGAAAGATTTACAAACTACAGGCGCGACAGCTTCGACTACCGATTTACTCTCTAAACAACAGTTGGTGGTTCATCTTCGCGATGCCAGAGAAGGCTTGCAACCCTTAAAGGAGTTAAGTGCGAAGTTATCCGAAAACGCAGCCGAACCACAAAGAGCAACACTTAACAACGAAATCGAGGAGCTGGAGCGCCGTTTGGAAACGACAACGTCCAATGTTCAAGAGCAAATAGCATTCTTGCAACAATGCAATACCAAAATCAGCACCATACATACAAAGGTTAATCAATTAAAAAGCTGGTCACTGCAAGAAGCGCCTCAGCTTTTATCATCTGTCCAAGAAACTAGTCTAACACCGGAGGATAGGGTTCAAAAAGCTCAGAAACTGGAGTCCGAAATTGCTAGTAAAATCACACTACTCGATGATCTTAAAAACGAAGCTTCCCAAGTGTTATTCGATGAAAATCCTGAAGCTCAGCGACTTAACGCGGAAGTCGGTGCTTTACGCGAACACGTTATAACGCTGAAGAAACATGCCGAGAGTCAAGCCGCAATTTTATCGAAAGATCTAGGGAACTGGCAAATTTACAAATCGAGTTTACAAGAAATTGTTCCGGTCCTGCAAAAGGCGGAAGAAAAAGCGCAGAGTGGACTTTCTAAACCGTCCACTCTGGAAGAAGCGGTAAGAATCCAAGCAGAAGCTAAGGATTTCTCAAAAGAATGCAATACCCAATTACAAAAATTACAAAATATACAAAATTTAGAACAACAAATTGTAATCAAATCTGAAGCACCGGATGAAGTCGACTCGATCAGAACTAGACTGCACAATCTGCAAGAAACTTCGACCCAATGGAATACTAAACTGGAGAAAGTGGTTAACCATTGGTTAGAGTTTGACAAAAACGTGCAGCGACTAGAGAACTGGACGGTTACGAGCGAACAAGCTTTAATCGAAAATCCAGTTAATGTAAACACACCGAACGTTGAAAGATTAGAAAAAGAACTTATAAAATTAAAGCAATTTAATAATGAAATATCCGAACAACAAGCCAAACTAATATCGCTAACCCAGAGTTCAGATAGTATTGCTTACAATATTTCGCCAGAAGGTGCTGCATTAATTAAAGATCAAGTGCAAGGGTTAAAAGCAAAGGTTACTAACTTGGCGGAAAGCGTGAGAGCTAAAATCAACGACGTGTCAGACGCTATTCTAGCAAGACACGATTTTCAAGCTAAATTTTCCGACTACACTAATTGGTTGGAAAACGTTGCCACCAATTCCGCGCGTTTGGATGAAGTTCCCGCAGACAAAGTGGACTCGGCCATAGAAAGTATTCATATTTTGCTTCAAGAGCACGCTGAGAAGCAGCCGCTGTTTAACAAAATTTACAACGAAGTCAAGGAGATCAGCATTCAAGCGTCTAAGAAAGAAACAGAACCTTTGAACGAAGAGTACACTAACTTGGTGCGTTATAATCAGGAAACCGAACATAAACTTCACAACAAACTAACTTCCCTTCAAAGATGGAGCGAATTGCTCAATTGGCATACAGATGGTATCAACCAACTAAATCATATCAAAGTGCAATTAGAAAATGAAAATTGTTCACCTGAAAAACTTCAAGAATTGATTAACGAGTCCGATTCGGTCATAGAAAGCATAATTAATTGGAAGAAAGCTATACCAACTATCGATAGCAATCAAGTAGTTACCATCTTAGATAAACAGACAGGGTTACCTATAACTGCCGAAAATATCGTTAGAGAAGTTGAAATTCAGGCTATCAACTTAAAATCCCGACTTGGCAACAAACTTGACGAAAAACAAAAAATTAAGAGCCATTGGAATAAATTTAACGACATGCAGCGAAACTTGTTATCAGAGTTGAACGCTACAAAATCGCAATTAGCAACCCTAAAAGACAAGGCCAAACATTCTAGCGATTTGCCTCGCGCAGTAGAGGATTTGGGCAAATTATTAGAAGCGCAAATCGAAAAAGCGCAGCTCAAAGATGAATTGAGAAAAGAAGCTGTACAATTGATGCGGGAAGACATTCAAAATGTTTCCGTGATACAAAATGCAATTTCTGATATCGAAAGCCACTGGAACAAAGTAAACGAGGACATAAAGGAAGACAAACTACAACTGTCGGACATTATTCACGCTTGGAATGAATTTCAGGAATCTAAAGATCGTATTGTCACGGAAATAGGAAAGATCGACAAAACATTGGAAAATTTGGAAGCTCCCAACGATCTCATTCAATCCCATGTAAACGCCGATAAGGCAAAAAAAGCATTGGAAGCAATTAAGAAAACCAAATCCTCTCTCGATAAAGTCGACTCTAAAGGGCAAACAATTATTAAAAAATCTGATAAAATACCGGGGATAGAATCCGAGGTTAGACGAGATTTAAAAATTGTTAACGATGTTTGGGCTAAAATTTATGAAAAAATTGTTAAAACTGTAAACTCGACCGAATCTGAGGCCACTATATGGAGACACATAGAAGAGACTAAAAATACGTTACTTCAATGGCTAAGTAACCAAAACGCGGCCCTTATTTCGGCATCTGAGACACCAAGCGACCTAGATAATTCTTCTGCCAAATTAGCGAAATATAGAGAAGAGTTGCCGTCACACCAGAGGTTATTTCAAAGCATACCCAACAAATACAATCAGCTTCGGCAATTTACAGATGGCAAGGAAATTCCGACAGTTCAAACCTTAATAAAACTTTTGGAGGATCAGTTCGATGTTGTTGAGAAGAACGCAGAAAACTTAGAATCTGTAACGTCAACCTTTGGTGAAAAGGAAAAAGGTATTCGCGAAAATATCAAAAGAATTGGAACAACTATATCGAATTTGAGAGAGGAAATAATCAAATGTGAAGATTTCTCCGGAGACAATGCCAAAATTTTGGAAAGATTGCTAACGCTTAAAACCCTAAGACAGCAACAGTTGGACGCACAACCTGATCTGTTGAGAATTAGTGATGACATCACAGAAATGACGAATGCTTATCCCAAGTTTTCGGAAAGCAATACATTAAAGGAATACGAATCTCTGAAAAAACGTTACCTAACCATACAGAATCACGTAACGAAGGTAGAAATTTCCCTCTCGTCGTTACTAAAAAAGTTTTACAACGACGGATTCAGCGCGTTAAAAAGAATAGTATCGTCACAGAAGGAAAAAATAGAGTGGTGCCTACCTGAACCTACGAGCGACAAATACAATTTGCAAGTAAAACTTAATTCTCTTACGCCAATTGAAGCTACCTTGGACGAATGTGAAAATCGTATTGCGGAACTGACCACCTCTATGCAGATGTTGGCGCAAGTTGAATCGCCTGAAAACATTAAGCTGCTTAAAGCAGAAAAGGATCACCTGACGCTGGACTTTAACAATCTGAAACAAGAATTTGAAAGGACTAAGGACATGTTAGCTAAAAACATAAACATGCAGAACGACTATGAACAAACAGCAGAAACTATTTCGAGCTGGTTAAAACAAATGGAAGGCAGGGTTAAATCCGAAAGCACTGTCCAAATGGACTTGGATAAAATTAACCAGAAGAGGGGAGATATTCAAAAACTTTACGACGACGTCCTGGCTTCTGAAAGCGAAATGAACAGTCTAACACCCATCAGTGAGCAACTCTTGAAAGCTCTTCCTGAATCTAGAATTCCTCAATTTGTACAGCATTTAAACTCTAGATATCAGTCTCTAGTAAAATTTTTGTCAAATTACTTAGAAAAACTGGACGAATTAGAAAAATACAACCAGCTTTACAGGAACAGTGTCGGCGACTTAGAAGCGTGGTTGGATCAAGCCAATGAAAAGATCAATTCATTTTCTGAAATTTCGCACAAGCCCAACCAGGCAACATTGGAGAAACTCAAGAAATTCAGCGGCGAAAAAGAAAAGGGTCAAGAGCTTTTGGGTAAAGCAGTATCTCATGGAGAGGCTTTGTTTAGCGGAATTACACCGGAAAATCGGGAAACAATAAGAACAGAACTACGAACTTTAAGAAATAACTCTGAAGCCTTAATTGACAGACTAAACCAAATATATAAGAATGTAGAGAACGCGTTAACCCAACGACATTCGTTTGATGATAGCCTCCAGCAGGTAGCGATATGGATTAACGATACTTCAACGAAGTTATTGAGTGAACCAAAACTGGATGCAAGTTTGCCAGATAAAAAGCAAACCCTTTACAGTTACAAAGTATTGGGCCAAGATATAGCTCTCCACAAAGGCTTGTTGCAGCAATTACAAGAGAAAATTGGAACGTTTTCTGATGCTGATGCTGAATTCAAACTTAAGGACAGCTTTCAAGAAACTACCAAGTTTTCTGAGGAGGCAAGCAAGCGAATTAAACAATGGGAAGATTACGTAGAAAACCATGAAGCATATAACCAAGCCATTGAGAAGTGCCACGATTGGCTCAGTGCATTAACAGCTGAAGCGGCCTCTTTGATCGATGAATCTTCAGAAGAATCACCGGAAGGTAAACTCACCATAGTCGACAATCTTCTAGCTCAAAAAGATGAAGGTGACCAAATAATATCATCGTGCAAACAACAACTAGAAAGCGTCGTCATTCAGACAGCGCCAGAAGGTCATCCTCCACTAATAAACATTTTTGATGAACAAGAAAAATCGTGGATGTTATTTTTGGAACTTTGCACGGACGCAAAAGAAAAACTTAATATTATTACGAATCAGTATGCAGAAGTTGGGAAGCTGATGGACAGTTTGGAGGCGTGGCTCAAGTTTAAAGAAAATCAAGTGAAAGATCAAAGCTTGAAAAATACAGAGGACGCCAAAAGAAAGCATTTGGATAAACTTAAAGGCTTAGAGAAGGAAATAATAACCAAAGAACCGGAATTTTCCAATTTCACGGAAATGATCAAGAATATAGAAACTGATACCAAAGTGTCTCAATTAGCAAGCAGATATCAGTCCCTTAAAAAATCGATAAAAGAGAATGTCAACAGATACGAAGGATTTGTAAATGAACATCAACAATTTAACGCAGATTATAACGAATTTTTACACTGGCTATCTGACAAAGAAGAGGAACTCCAAGATTTGTGCCATATCGTAGGAGACCTCAATGTTCTACAAAAGCGACAAAATGGCATAAGGCAATTAGTCGACGAAAAAAATCAGCGAAGCTTGGAATTTGAGCACCTTGTCGAAAAGGGAGAAAAACTTTACGCTCATACTTCCCCCGACGGAAGAGATATTATCAGACAACAGCTGCGGAACATTCGAACTATTTGGGATACATTGGGTGATGACTTACAGACAGCTATCAACAAATTGGATCAATGCATAGTGCAGTTTTCGGATTTTACTGCGACACAAGAACAATTAACTAAATGGCTCAAAGAAGTAGAAAAGGGTATGCAGCAGCACACAGAATTGAAATCTACTTTGCAGGAAAAAAGAGCCCAACTGCAAAACCATAAAATTATGCACCAAGAAATTATGTCACACCAGCAATTGGTAGAGACGGTCTGTGATCGAGCTCAGCAGCTGGTTGATCAAACGCAAGACAAGTCTCTCAACGTTTATTTGCAGTCCATAAAACAACTATTCCTCAGCATTGTAGCAAAGTCAGATGAGTTACTTAACAACTTGGGGGAGTGCGTGGATAGACATGCGGAATACGATCAACACTTAGCAGCCTTTAAAGACTGGATGTCGCAACAAAATGATAGACTTCGTCAACACGATATTGAAAGCGGCGATAGAAGTGAAATTTCCAAGAGAATAGCCAGTCTAACATTCTTGAAAGAAAATGGCGAAGAAGAAGGGGACAAACTTATAGAGAACTTAAAGAAAATACTAATCCAAGTGGCCAAGAGTACTGCTCCTAATGGCGTTGATGTACTCAAGGACGAACTTGCATCCAACCAGCAATTGTTAAAACAGTATTTAGATGAAATTGGTTAGTATAGAGCTTAAAAAATTGCAGGTTGTTTCTTTTATTTTATTTTTTTTCAGATTTATTAATTAACAAACAGCAAGCGACGATTAATAGGTGGGACCAGTTCGACAAATCGTTAGAAGAGCTTAACCGATGGATACAGGACACAGAAATTATTTTCAGAAATCAAGAACTTCAAGCGACTTTAGGTGAAAAAGAAACGCGACTTTCCCAATATCAAAAGCAACGCGAAATTGTTGTCTCACAAGAAAAGGAAATAGATCAGTTTGTCGACATGAGCCACGCACTTTTGAATTCTAGCGGTGTTCAGAAAATCAAACCTATAATATCCCAAGTTAGTGCGAGATACCAAAATCTCCTCGGACTATCAAAAGATGTTATTAATCGCTGGCAAGGCATGGTGGATGACCACACCAATTACAGGCAAAAATTAGATGAAACTCTTGCTTGGTTGAAACCCTTAGAAGATCAGTTGCATCTTCTTCAACAAGGTGGACTTTCAAGTAATGTGGAGGCTGAATCACAAAGAATGCAAATTCTAATAACAGAAAAAGAAAAAGGAGAGCATAAAATTAACTCTTTGAGTTTAGTAGGAGAGAGACTCTTACCAGATACTGCAATGCACGGAAGAGAAATAGTGAGAAATGAAATTAAAAGCACAAGAGAACGATGGGAAAAACTAGCAGACGGTGCGTAATTTCATTTAATAAGCGTTGATTTTTATATGTACTTTTTCTAGGTATTTCGAATCAGCAAAAGCTGCAAGACGCACAAAGCATGCAGCTGTCCAGTTATCAAGACCAGCTGCAACAAACCCTAGCATGGTTAGACTCCATGGAAAAGATTGTAAAACTCGATTCGTCCTCATGGAATTCAGTTCAGGAAGTTAGAGGAAAACTGCTAAAGCAGAAAACTACACTCCAAGAAATCATTCCACATAAAAGAATCATAGAAGGTAGTGGTTTCATTGGAAGCTAATAAATAATTGGATAATTCATTTCTTTTATAGGGATCACTGAAAAAGCCATTCATTTAGCCCAACTGGTCAGCAACAAAGAAAAAAATGTAGAGATTGAAAATAATGTGAAATCAATCAATGAACGATACCAAAATTTACTGGTGGCGGTTCAGGACAACATTAAACAGCTTGAGAACTGTCTCGATGTGTTCCAGCATTTCTACGACCTTCTTAAAACTCAACAAGACATCCAAAAACAACTCTGGGATAATCTTAATTGTTATGTAGATTACAGCGGAAGTAAATCTTTTATAGAGCAGAGGCTTAACAAAGTCAATGAGATTGAGGATAACTTACCAGAGAGCACGATCAAACTTAAGGAAATAGAACAGCACGTTGAGAAAAGAGCATCGGTTCTACCTCCACGGGCCAAAGAGGCAATGCAAAGAGACGTTTCTAATCTTAAAGTGGATCAAGACAAGTTCCGTTCCACATTGGTGGACGTTAAGTCTTCTTTAGGAAACAGATTAAAACAATGGAATGATTACGAGGTTTCGTTGGAACGATTGCTAGCATTCTTGTTGGATACAGAGTGTTCTTTGAAAAATTATGTTCACAAATCGACTGCAGAGGAAAAACAGGAACAGTTAGAGAAATATCAGGTAAATGCACTCTGATTAATATTCCGTTTTAATAAAATTACCTAATCGTTTTGCTGTGGAGTTCGTTTTAAGTGTAATAATTCAACAGGTACTAACTAAGGCGATTGATTCCTGTACGAGAGAAGTTAAGAATTTTATTCGTATTGCCGATCATCTGGAGCAAGTAAGAACACAGACAAATATGTATACAAGTTTCTCTTCCTTTCTTAACGTAACGCTCGTAAATAAGATGCAATAAATAGTTGTCCTTTTATCCTCAGTGATAAAAATTCTTATCATTATTCAAGCGGATCACTTTCGTATATTTTTTATTTTGACCTAAGAACATCCTATTGGTGCAGATTTTTTGAAAAATAAACAAACCTCTTTGTCTATGAGGCAGATTAATGGATCTGTTGGAATTATTACCATTAAGAATAACAATAATATTGAAATATTGCATAAATATATTTTAAAAAAATAAAAATTCAAAAAATAATAAATAAATATTTGTTTTAAAAAAGAATTGATACCGTCATGATGAACTACCCATGGAAAATATCATTCTTCTTATACTAAATAATTTTTCTGATAACGGTATATTTTTGGCACTATTGACAAGAAACGACAAGAACAAGTTAAAATGTTTTCCAATTTTTATTAGAGAATTCGTAAACGTAACGTCACTATTTTAAGATTGATTGCTACAAAATCCATTGTCTTTTGTTTTACTTGACTCCTTCCAACAAATCTATGCCAATTAAAATTTTTCTAGTCTTGCAGTTTTATTTTTACCGGCAAGAAGCATCGTAAATCTCCAACACTAAAACTGAAAATTTTACAGAAAAAATATACTGGATTACTAAAAATGCATCTTAAAATATTTTATTCTGCTGGTGATGGTGTCTAGAGGTCAATGTCGTGTTCTTTTCTGTTCTAAAATTATTTATGCCTTCTTCGATTCTTGCTTCTAGGTGAATGCTTGCTGTTCTATTCCTTCTCCGTTGATTGGTGGTTGTCGATGTATAATATAATTGATTCACCGTGTTTAATTTGTAGGCTCTCATTACAAATCTTCGACAAAACGAACATGATTTCGATAAGATGTCTGATGATTCAACCGAATTGATCCAAAGCAGCGGCGATTCCAGGATTTCGATAAATATCCAACAGATTACGTCTCGATTTCAGTCTGTTCAGATTACAACTAAGGAGATAGTGAAGAAATGTGAACAGGCCTTAGCGGACCACAAGTTATACAACGAAAAATACAGACAGTGTTCCGACTGGATAGCAGCCGCCCAAACAAAGTAATACACTGAAGTTCGCAAGTTGACATAAAAGAATGCACGCCATTTTTCATTTTAGATTTAACTCCTGTCAAGAAAATGTCACCCAGGAATCGCTAAGTGAACAGAGCAAGGCGCTGGAGGAGCTGTTGTCCCAAAAAACTAGCGCGTTGTTGCTTTTAAATAACACCATAGAGTTAGGAGAGAAACTTTATTCGTCCACGTCTCCGGAGGGACGGGATATTATTTCTTCCCAATTAGAAGGTTTGCAACAGATGCTGGAGGCCCTGTTCGATGGAATAAACTCAGCCAACAGAGACATCAAGATAAAGTTTAATACCTGGTCCGAATTTGACAATAGTGTGCAGAGTATCCAAACTTGGTTTAAGGAAATCGATCATCTGCTGTCTCAACAAATTATACTTAAAGCTACATTAGACGAGAAGAAATCCCAGCTTCAGGTGTACAGAAACCTGCTTCACGACATAACATCGCATCAACAAGATGTTGTGGAGTTGAAGAATAAACTTGAAGGTTTGCCTAACAGAGACAACAATATCGAAAAACTGATCGTAGGTATTGCGGAACAGTATCAGACAATTCTAAAACGAGCACAACATTTTGCGCAAAAATATGAAACTATTGTCAGTGATCATCAAAAATATTCCAAAGCGGTACATGAATGTCACGAATGGATGGATGCCACGCGAAACACAGTCAGTCTGTGGAGCGATATTAATCTGGAAAGGGTTTCGTTAATTTCCAACTTAGAAAGGCTTAAAAAATTAGCTGGCACTCTACAAGAAGAGCGATCGCGAATCGATGTTATTAAGGATCTAGGAGATTTGGTGATTCCTGGGACGATTGAGAGTGGTCAAGGAAATATTCGATCTCAAATAGATGCGTCTCAACAAGAATGGGCTAGTCTTGTATCTATTTTGGAGAAGGCAATATCACAGCTTGAAGTTAAACTTCAACAATGGTCTGAATACGAACGACTGAAAGATCAATGTTTCTCTTGGTTACGAGACACGGACACCACACTGCACTCAATTGATCTAAAGTCTACTGCCGAAGAAAAACAAACGCAGTTGGAATCACTAAAGAAACTGCAAGGTGAAGTAAAAGCCAAGGAGCTCGAAATCGATCAGGTTACAGAAAAATTACAACAATTGGATAAAGGTCTATCAAATCGCGCCTCTCAAATCTCGGAACTCGGCATCAAATATCAACAAATATACCAAAAAGTTAAGGAGCTTACCACTCGCTGGCAATTATATACCAGCAGTCACCAAGATTTTAATAAAGAAATTGCCCGATTTGAACATTGGTTAAATAGTCTAAATGAAAAATTAGAATACTGCGCAGATGTGCTAACAGCTTCGGAAAAGGAATTAGAACTTAAACTGGAAACCGTGCAAGGGCTAATACTCAATAAGGAAGATGGTTTTACAACCATACAGAAACTCGTAGAGTTGGCGCAAAATGTTTTGGCAAACACTGCTCCTCAAGGTCATGAATCTGTCAACCAAACACTTGCTAATTTACAAAATAAATGGTCGAACATCGCATCGAAAATAATAGAAACGAAATCTTTACTTGAAGATGCTCTAAGAAAATGGACTGGTTTATTAGAAGAAATTAAATCACTAGATAAACGAATTGAATGGCTCGAAGCGCAGTACGCGGAATTATCGGAATTGCAGGCGACTGCGTCGGAAAAGAAAACCCAACTCGAGAGAATCAAGACTTTGGAAGAAAAGGTGCGTTGTGAGAAAATCGAAGTTGATTCGTTAAAGTCTCAAGCAACCGAGGTACTTAAGAGTGAGCGAACCCGAGAAGCCGCCATAGAAGCACAAACTATGCTAGATAGATTTGATAATATCTTCAATAAAATTCAAAAGTTATTACCACAGAAGAACCAGGAGTACAAAGACCATAGAGCTTACAAGGAAGCCTATGAAGAGGTGCAGGTCTGGATGACCAGAGCTCAAGAGAAAGTTCCGCAACTGAAACAGCGTCCTTTAGGAGATAAATTATCAATTGAAATGTTCTCTGGTCCGTTAGATCATTTACTAAACAAACAAGCCCAGGGTGAAGTACTGCTGGAGAACCTCGACCATACCGCTCAAGTTGTTATACCTAATACTAGCGCCCCGGGGCAGGAAACTATCAAAAATGAAATCAGAGCATTGAGGGAGAGTTTCGACCGCTTGTTCAAGGGTAAGTTTCTTGTCGTACTAATCATAACATTTATAATGTCTATTTGTATATAACTAACGTTTGTTTAATAATTACAGACTTGAAACAGCAACGTGAGCAGCTTGAAGTTATTTTAGTTCACTGGCGTGACTATAAAGACGAGTTTGAGAGGATTTCAGACTGGCTTCAGCAAATTTCTATACTAATCAAAAATCAAAAGATTGCCTTGTCGTCAAATCTAGAGGAAAAGCAAAAACAAGTGAAAGATGTTAACGAAATTCTTGATAAATTGACCAATGGAAAGCAACAGGTAGAAAAACTAAACGATTTTGCGAAGGTTCTATTAAAATCGCCTCTTGAAACACACGTTAATAACCAACTGCAGCAGCTAAATTCGCGCTACCAAGCAGAATTAAATTTAGCCAAAGATGTTGTGAAAAAAATTGAAACCAACTACGAACAACACAACGAATACGATAAAAATCTAAAAAACGCCAGAAACTGGATCGATAACGCCAGAGAAATAATTTCTTCTTGTTCCGAAGCAGCTTCGCATAGCAGCAAGGATGTGCTACAAAGCCATCTTAATCAAATTCAAGACCTCATTAATCGACGAGAAGAGGGTCAAAGTTTAGTTCACGCGACGGTTAACTGCGGTGAAAAAGTGCTGCGCAACACGCGGTCAGATGGTAGAGACATCATAAACAATGAAATCAAAGAAGTACAGAGCGACTGGGAAAGAATCGTTAAGAAGATGTCAACCGCGAAAGTGAATTTGGAAACGGCCTTATTGCAGTGGGCTGACTACGACAGTTCATACAATCAGCTGCGGCAATGGATCAGCGAAAGAGAGGCAAAACTTCAACAAGTTACTGAACCGAAAGCCATGAAAATAAAAAAGGGTCAAACAGGATTAAGTGCCTTGCCAATTGGTGAAAGAAAAGCGGTCCTTAGGGAAACAGGAAGTATCGTCCAGGACATAGTCTCCTTCGAACCTATGATCCAGTCGGTGGCATCCAAAGCTGAAGATTTGAAACAAGCTGCACCTGCATCGGAAATATCGAGCAAATATGAAACATTATCCAAGCAAGCACAGGAACTATATGCCAAACAAAAGGAGACCGTGGAACAACATCAAGCATTCATTGATGCAGGAAATGATATAGTTCAATGGCTTCGTCTGGCTAAAGAACGGCTTGGTAAATGTTCGGAACCTACTGGCGACAAAGAAAGCTTAGGCGGCAAGCTATCTCAAATCAAAGTACTGCACAGCGAGCTAGAATATGGCCAGCAAAAGCTAGAAACTGCTTTAGAGAAGGGCGACAAAGCCTGCCAAGTCGCAGACGAGGATGATAAAGAAATAATAGAAGAACAAGTTGCGCTGCTACAAGAAGAATTCGATAATTATGTAGAAAATTTGAACAGCACCAAGAATTTACTAGAAAGAGGAATCGTAAAATGGACAGAATACGAAGAACAGTATCAAGATGCATTAGAGTGGCTAAATCAAACTGAGAAAATGGTGCAGTCATTTAACAAACTCCAAGACAGCTTGGAAGAGAAGCGGGCGGTATTGGAACAATTCCAGTTGCATTTGCAGACGCTATTTGACTGGCAATCTGAACTAGATAGACTTAATATGAAAGCTCAGTCGCTGCTGGAAACTTGCGCAGATTCTCGGGTCAGTAATGCGATAATGCAGCTGTCCACCAAGTACAATGCTATTCTATCTATGGCGAAGGAGATAATGAGGCGGTTAGAACTGTATTACCAAGAACATCAGCAGCACAGCACCTTGTATCAGGAGTGTCAGGATTGGATGGACAGAACCAGAGATAAACTGCACGGTTGTATGGATATACCGAACAGTTTTTCGGAAATTCAAAACAAGTTGCAAGTGGTCAAGAATATTAGAACATCTATAGAGCAAGGTCAAAATAAATTGCGATATATCAACGAGCTTAAAGAGCGTGTAATTATGAATACGGAACAAACAGGTGCTGAAAAAATACAGGAAGACACCGAGATTTTGAAGGAGGACATGGAAAAACTGCTTAATGAAGTTCAAGATGTTAAGAACAAACTTCAGGCTCAAGCGAATAAATTAGAAGAAGTGGAAAAGCTGCTAGGTCAATTTTTGGATTGGTTGCAAGATCAAGAAAACCAAATACAATTCGAAGAGGGATACTTAAATGAACTTAGCGAAAAGAAAGCCAAACTGGAAAAGTATAAAACTGTGCAGAAGGAACTAAGTGGCCACAACGAAACTTTGGACAAACTGAAGTCCAAACTAAATGAAGACAAAGATGCTTCAAATCCAGAAATAGAAAGTGCATTAAAAAGGTTTAATGAATTCAAGCAACAGTTGTCATTGGCGGTTTCTGAATTAGAAGTCCAAGTAGACGAACATGACCAATATAAAAGTTCTTACAATAAAGCCATGGAATGGATTAGACAGTCTCAATTAGAAATTCAAAAATGTTCTGATCTCCAAGTTGAGCTTAATGAGATAATCGAAAAGGAATCTCAGATCGATGGGATCTGCAAAAGATTGTCGGACTGTGACGAATTGGTGAATCAAACAATCAAAAAGAGTATCGGAGTAATGAAAACCACAGGGGAAGAAGGCAAAAGTATAATCCGAGACGAAATTGACCAATTAAATACGGATTGGGAGGGCCTTCAATTTATCTGCAATGAGACTAAAAAATCGCTAAGCAAGTGCAAAGAAGCGTGGAAGGACTTAAAGAATAATTGTGATTCTGTTCAAAGAAACGTTGATGCTTTAAGAGCTCGCGTGGAACAACAGCAAAACTCCGAAAATAACAAACAGGAAGACTTAGAAAAATGTAGGGCATTGCTAACAGACATTGAGGAACTTAAACCTCAAGTAGAAAACCTGACAGACGCGTGTGAAATTCTTATGGAACTGAGCGCCATCAGTTGGGTTAGGGATAAAACGGTACAACTGCAGGGTGAATACACCAACTTGCTTACTGGCGCTCAGGGTTTAGTATCTCGAATGGAAAAAAATTTGATAGATCACACGGAATTTATGGATATTAAAAGCGAATTGGAAAACTGGCTTCGAGGAAACGACGATACCGTACAACAATGTATTGGCTTAGGGGATGAGAACGATATCAGACAAAAACTCGACAAAATCAGATTTATCAGTGCCAATTTGGGCGATGGACAGAAATTACTTGGGGATTTGCAAAACGCATTTGCCAAAATTATTAATTCCGCAAAGCCTGAGAAACAAGCAGAACTGCGTGACGACGTAACTAATTTAAGGAATAGCTGGGATCAATTAAACATGGACTTAAAGTCGACCGAAACTCAACTGAAATCCGGATTATCAAGGTGGGATGAATATAACGAGGCAAAGCGTGTACTGGAATCTTGGCTTCAAGCAATTGAGAAGGCACTGAAAGCAAAACCAAACACAAAAGGTGAATTAAGCGAAATGAGAACGTTATTGGAGAGGTACAAAAATATAGAGGTAGAGATAATAAAAAGGAACGAAGACCTCGAACGGTTGAATAACGAAGCAAAAGAATTAAACAAATGGTCCAACAAACCTGGCGTATTGGAACAGGTAAAAGAGCTCAAATCGCGATTCGAACAGGTCATATCGGTGTGCAACTCATTTCAAGAGCAAGTCGATGCAGAGCTGCGAGACTACAATATCTATCAACAAAAACTGCAAGAAACTGAGAAGTGGTTACTGCAAGTCTCTTTCCAGCTTATGGCTCACAATTCTCTTTACATAACGAACAGAGAACAAACTCAAGAGCAAATAGTCCAACATGAACAGCTTCTAAAACAAATTCAAAATTATCAATCTACAATAGACGACGTAAAAGATAAAGGCTACGGGCAAATTAAAAAGTACGTAGCATCGGCACCCGGAATCACAGATACCATAGAAAGACAGTTGAACAATGTCCAAGAGAGTTTTACCTCGCTACTACAGACTGCTGTTCAAATCAAGAATAGGCTGAGCGATTCTTTGGCCAAATTTAAAGAATACGAAGATGCTTTGGAAAGCATCATGCGTAGCTTGGACGAGTATGAACCAATCGTATCGCATGAAATCGTGAAACCAGTCGAAAGCTTAGAAGAGGCAAATGCCTCACTTGAAACGGCAAAGGTAAATAAAGAACATACTCGCTGAAATTGATTTGATGTTTTGTTTAATTAAAGGTTATCCACAACAAACTGCAAAACGAGAAATCCAGATTAGCAGTAGCTGTTCAAGCATGCGAAGCTGCTACAGCTTCGATAAGTCGTCCAAACAGCCCGAGAGATGCAATTCCACCTCCCGTTCCTATCAAGGAACTGGAATGTAGAGCAAGACTCGAAGACCTAATCGATCAGGTATGTGGCTCTGTTTGAACCAAATTGGAAGACAATTTTTAAGGAGCAATTTTCCTTTCTAAAAGAAATTTTTAAAAACTGAAGCTATGGGCTTAAATATCATAAAGACATTTATAATGTTGTCTGATCTCTTAGTGACCACTCGTACACAACAACTTTTTTCGATCAATATTTGATTGCCCAATCGCTATTAAGGGATTCTACTGTATGTTTTGAAAATATTTCCATAGAAATACAAAACTTCTCTTAGCAAAAAAGTGAAAACAATTTTTTACAAATGCACATTTCTGAAACGGTCACATCTATGTAAGGTTTTTACCATAACGATTTTCATTACCATTTAGCTCCAGACATAGCCTAAATCTTTTGGAAAGGGGAGATCCATTTAAAAGTGTCCAAGTTGGCCCAGCTTGTCCATGCGATTTTGTTGTGGTGTTTGTATAATTTTTAGCGTTTTGATTTGTTTTAATATTTTAATTTGCACCGCATGCATGTATACGTTTCTTTAGACACACAGGGAATCGGCAACTTCAAGGGATTCTGATAACAGACTGAAATTGCTTTTGGATGAACTTGTGTCCAGGAAATTTATTTCTAAAGTGAATACCCAAATCGATCAGGTTAGTTGATGAAATTAGCACAAAACCATTATCATCATTTAATTCTTGCGGTTAAAAGATGCCATATATATAAGTTACACTGACACACCAATATTTAAGAGTGTGACATAGGACAATCATTTTAAGAGAAAAGTATCCTCACATATGGGTCGGTAAAGGCTTCAGTTTCAAGATACAGGTAGTGTTTAAGTTATTATTTTACAGTTTTTCTTAAATACACTTCTACAATTAATTTAATTAAAATTCCTTTATATACATATATATATATATATATATATATATATATATATATATATATATATATATATATATATATATATATATATATATATATATATATATATATATATATATATATATATATATATATATATATATATATATATATATATATATATATATATATATATATATATATATATATATATATATATATATATATATAAAATATTATTTATATTAATTAATATAAAATTTATATATTTTTTAAATTTATTAATTTTATAAATGCCTTTATATTAGGTTTCACTTTTTTAAAGGATGATCCATTTTTAAAAATAAAAAAGGGTCCTATAACTTGGACGAATATCTTTCCTATTTTCGAGTTATCAAATTGAAAGGTAAGTCCGCCCTAAAATGCTTAAGATGCAATGTTTTCAAAAAGTCTTGCCGCGTAGAAATGGAACGGGATTTATAAAAAAGGAGAAAAGTAATGCGAAACCCGCAAAGGTTTATCTTTAAAAATAAAGTGAGATATTTACAAAAATCTAATTTTATCTCACATACAAATAATAAACAAATTATTTACAACAATAAATAAAATGAAATTTTCGGTCTCCCTTCTTTACTTCAAAATCTCGAACTTTGTCGCGCTTGAGAGATAATTTTCCGTTATCTGTACAGACTTCTGTGGTTAATTGTATTCTGTGAAACGAAAGGTAGAATCGCATAAATGTCAGCATATCATTAACATCACTCAAATTTTAAATTAAGCTCATACTAACGGCACGAATTGATTTTGTCTTTTTTTAACGACAATTGTACTGCAATTTAAATTTACTTTAATGTTTTCATTCCCAGGTACAAGCCCATCTTAGCAATTTGTCGTCGTCCGTGGCAACTTTCGAAGAAATCGAAAAACAAAAAGCAAGTCTCAAGGCTTGGATCAACACGCAGAGACAAGCAGTCCACGAATGGAAAAATCGACCTATCAAATTGCGAGCAGATGCGGCCAAACAAGAGATAAACAATATGAACGAACTTCTCACGGCAATTGGTCAGCGTCGAAACCAACTCACCACTGAATTGACTGGTCCAGGAACCGAGGAACTGGCAAAGATGTTGGACAATTTAGAAAATGAACTTTTATCTGTTATGACCGAGAAACAATCAAAACAAGAATTCGTGGATCAATATCGGCAGCAACTACAAGTCACTAACAATTGGTTCGACAATCTCGTCAAAAGAATCGACGTAATCGACAAGGGTTCTGGCCTAAACTGCCAACAAAAGAAGGACGCAGTTGTCGAACTTCAAACCGAATTTGATCAACAAGGCCCCAAGAAAGTGGATGAAGTAAAACGACTCGCTGGAGAAATTACAGAAATCGTCAACAATTTAGACTCGCAACAGGTAGAGGAACAAGTAAAGTCCGTAGATAGACGGTATAAAGATATTTCCAAAAAGTTGCAAAGAAAAATGCAAGTTCTTGAAATGACCAGAAAAGGCATTGATGACACTAGAAACGAAATTGAACAAGCCAGAAGTTGGGTCAAAGAAAAATTTGAAACACTTCAGCAACCAAGACCTCTCGGTTTTGAAAGCAGAAAAGTTGACGAAAGAGTCAATTCTTTAAAAGAACTTCTCAAAGACGTAGAAAATAAATCTCTACTGAAGGATACTCTGACGAAACGCGTAGCAAATATGACTAACGAGTTGGAACCATCTGAACACGATCAGTTAGAAAATTCTCTAAAGAACTTGAGCACTGAAAGGGAACATTTGGCAGGCAAGGTGAAGCAAGAGATCGATCGTCTAACGGCTGCTGCCAGTAGCAGAAGAATCTTAGAATCGAACCTAGAAAAAGCAAAGGCATGGCTTAAAGCGAAAAACGCTGAAGTTAGGAAATTAAGCGGGTACATTCCCCTTAAAACGATTCACGTAGAAAAAGAAATCGCTCAACATAAAACATACGACCAGCAAATAAAAGATTTCAGCAAAGGGGATTTAAATGACTTACTTAAGCTGGGAACTAACGTGCTTAAGGAATGCGATGACGAAGATCGCGAAAGACTACAACATTTACTAAACGAAGTCAAAGATGACTATGAGAACTTGAATCAGGAATCTAAACAGAAACTGGACGCACTGACGGATTTGCTTCACGGTAGGAAACTGTTTGAAAGTGATATAGAAAAATGCATAAATTGGTTAAAAGAAGCCGAAGTTGCCACTTCATCCGACATAAGAGTTTCAAGTTTGGACGTCCTTGAGGAACAACTTGCAAAATACGAGAAATTGTACGAAGACGCTAAACGAGTTAGTGGCGATATTGAGAAGATATCAGAACAAGGCAAAGCGATTTTGCCAACTATTAGCGAATCGGATAAAATAATCTTGAAAGAAACACTTTACAATATGACAGACAGACATGGGAGGATAGCAAGTTTGATTCAAGATAGAACTAACGATCTTAAACTTAAAATCCAACAAATCCGAGACGCACAAGCGAAACTGGCAGAGAGTTTGCAATTCATCAAGGACGTTCAAAATCAACTTCAAGAATTGAACAAACCGGTCGGTGCTAGAGTTGAAGATGTGCAGAACTTACTGTCGTCTTATGACCGAATTTTAAAAGATGTGAAAGCAAGCAAGACCAAACTTGGAAGTGTTCCAGGTGCCAATCCCGCAGAACTCCAGGACATTGTTAACACCCAGGACGAATTAATCAGAACTATTGAAGATCAAATAGCGAAACTCAAACAAATGCTGTTGCTTAGAGAACAGTATCTGGCCCTTATCACTGAGATTATGACATTCATCACTAAGTACACCGAAGTGGTTCGACACGTGGAAAAGTCTGGAAGCACCATAGAAGAGAAAATCAAGAAATACGACGATATTGTGGTAAAAATACAAGAATGCGAGGCCTTACATGCGTCTGCCAGCGATAAGGGGCAACAAATTGCGGCTGACTGTAACGTCCAAGACCGAAACCACATAACTGAGCAGTTACAGTCACTAAAGCAATCTCTTAATAATTTACGAAAAGCCGTGGAGAAACAAAGGCAGGAACACGAGAACACCGCCGCCGAATATCGTAAACTGGCATCAGAGTTAGAAGAAATATTGGACTGGCTTCATACGAATGAGGGCGCAGTCAAATCAAGGCCTCTATTGAACAGAGACGTGAATAGCGTATTGCGAGAGATACAGAATCATGAAGTACTTGACGCAACGATAAATAAGTATTTGGATAAAATAAGAAAAATCCAAGAAAATGTGGGGTATGATGATGCCATGCCAGGATCCCTTCAGGAGCAACTCTCAGAGGCAAATTCGTTGTTAAGTTCATTGCCACGAGAATTGGAGGAACGCTCTAAATACCTACAGACCAACAGAAAGCTGAGGGATGAATACACCGAGCAAAAAGAAAAACTTTACAATTGGGTGAAAGAGGCGGAACTCAGGTTGGACGCTCACAAAGACGGAGTTGATTTTGAAAACATTTTCACAGACTTGGAGGAACACAAGGTCTTCTTTAGCACGGAATCGAGCATTAAAGAATTAGTTTCCCACGGGATTCAGCAGGCTGCCGATAAGATTTGGCCCAGTTTAACGCCATACGAACAGGAAGAATTGAGCCGGGAACAACAACAACACACGCAACTTTTAAAAAACACACTAAATTCTGCAAAATCTCAAAGGGCTCAACTCGAACAAGACGTCGAAATATGGAAGGACTACTGTCAGGTTTTGGACAAGGTGAAGGCACTCATAGCAAGGACAAAATTTACTGACGAACCAGTATCGACTTTGGCAGGCTTACACTTCAATATCCAGAAGATCACCCACGCCCTTAACGATATTCAGGTGAGATATTCAAATTTCTAGATAGGAAACCGGCAGTGTCTCAATCAGGGCCCCTTAATAGTGCGTGAACGAGACCCGAACATACGAGGTGTATGCAAAAAGTAAGGTGTCTTAAGTTTTATCAAAAAGTATTTATTTATTCATCAAAGTTAATGTTCTCCCCTTCAAAATAACCCCGCCCTCCTAGATATAATACACTCGTGTCAACGTTTTTTCTAATCCTTGAAGCACTTCTGGTAAGCACTTTCTGGTATAGCCTCAAATTCTTCCAGCGATTTTTTCTGTATCTCCGAAATCCCTTTTATGGGTCTCTTGTGTTTTGCGAACAGGAAAAAGTCGCAGGGGCCATATTCGGTGAATATGGTGGCTGAGGCGTGATTCTGGTTTTGTTTTTGACCAAAAAGTTAAACACAAGCAACGATGAATTGTTTTCCCACAATTTGTATTGCTTCTCTCAAACGGCGCATAACTTCAAGGTAATACTGTTTAATGACTGTACGACGTTGTGGTAAGAACTCTTGATATACTACACCATGATAATCAAAGAAAACAGTAATCAAAATCTTGACATTTGGTCGAACGTGCTTTTTTCGGTCTTGGGGATTCTGGGTTCTTCCATTGGGACGACTGAGGTTTGGTTTCGACGTCAGAACCATATACCCATGATTCGTCACCAGTTATGACCTTTTTGAGTATATCAGGATCAACATTGACGTCGTTTAACAGATCTTGAGCGATGCTCATTGGATGGTCCTTTTGTTCAAAATTAGGCAGTTTCAGGCTGTTAGATGTTTCATGCCCAAAACTTCGGAAAAAATTGCATGGCATGAGCCAATAGAAATGCCGACGTCTTCAACCACTTCTCTAATAGTGATTCGAGGATTTTTCAACACCATTTGTTTCACTTCTCCAACGCTGTCATCAGTTCTTGACGTACTAGGGGGTCGAACAGCTTGTACCACTTAAAAACATTTTTCTTGCTCAAAGGAGATTCACCATATGCCGTTGTCAAAATTTCAAGGGTTTTGCAGCACTGTAGTTCATTTTTTATGTTTTATGTTTATGTTATACAAATTCTTTGTTCCATTTTTTTTACAACAGAAAATCTCTCATAAAAAAAGTAAACGTGCAAACTGGCTGAAATTGTGAACATATGTTAGGGACATGTGTACCAATATAACAAAGAAAATATATCGAAGATCGAATGTACGTAGCTCGCCCAATTACAAAAGTCACCTTACTTTTTGCACACACACCGTATATCGTTTCCGCCCATATTATACCTTAGGTCCAATCAATTTTCGGTCAGTACCATACGCACGATTCCTTTTAAATACAGTAGTATGTCACAAAACCCAACTGACTCATGACTCATTATCGCGATATTAGACTTAAGAGCAGCAGAGTGGTGGTACTTCCCCCAGCTGTTTGCTGTACCCCGAAACGTTTTTAAAATCACAAAGAACTCATATACGGACAGAGAATAGCAGCAAATTATAAGGTTTATGCATAAAGTGATGACGCACAGTTTAAAATTCGACGGAAGGAAATCTGTTCTTGTCATATTTTGAATAGTCGTTTTTTCTTTTCTATTATTTCGCTGGAGTACTTCATTACTAACATGATAAACCAATAGCAGTAGTAATTGTACTAGTCGTGGAGTAATGCTGGAAGCCCGCGTGTCCAGTAAAAGTACTTCCCTGATGTGTGTAGTGTTGTACCATCGACGAAATATTTGTTCACGAAAAATCATCATGTTTAAACTTATGCTACAATATTTTAGTCTATTTATTTCGTTACTATCGAAACCGAAACTATCCCCGAAAGTAAATTGAAAGATTCCTGTAAGTAGCTTTCTTCTCTAAAATGCCCGATTATACATCTAGCATGCGAAAAGTGGAATTTTACCGCGTCAGTTTCATTTTCCACGGATCCGAGCCACTTCGGACATTTTCGAGATATTACCGCACGGGGCTGAACTTTGACGTTTGTCAATTCTGACGGTCATATCATTGTACCCAAGAACTAACGGTTGTAGAAAAAGTATAGTATTTACAACACCTGCACACTTGGTACATAATGTAATATTACGAAACTCTAGCGTCATTGTTATGTAAATTACGATACTGTGCTAATATTATACAAATATATTGAATTTATTTTCGCATTTGAACTTATACTTATATAAAAAATAAACTTATGCTGTCTAATAAAATGGGATCTATACAAAAAGTATGCAGAAAAATAGACCTTACGAAATATGAGTTAAAATAGGTTTGTGTGTGTGTATTTTAGAAAAAAGTTTTGATGATATATTTTGTCAAATTAGAAAAAAAAATTGGAGCAAAATGTATGAAAATATTTGTCGAACAACCCTTTCATTGCAAAGTAGCACACTTATTGAAATGAAAAATGAATTTCTCTGGGGATTTCGTATTTAGAGACTCTTCTTCTCTTCTTCTTGAAAATTTGAAAAAACGGTAATGTATTCTATTTAACATAAGAAAGTCGGTACAACTGCTATCTCAAAACTTTTGCATTTGTTTGCTTTTTATTTTTTGCACAACAGATCGCTGAAATTATTATTTTTTATTATATCATATTTTAGTGTAAATTTTACTTATTTCCGAATGCAAAAGTGTTGACGCAGAAATCTTTTGTAGGTATACAAGTACTTATACAATTGAAAATCCAACATTAGTATCATCATTAAGTCTACAAATATACATTCTAGAAAAATGAAACAGGTTCATAAAAAAACCTTTTGTTTAAGTCAGTTTATAATAGATGACTTGTAAATCTAGTTTTAATGAACGTCACGTAGACATTGAAGGAGTGTTAGTGTTCAAGGAAAGAAGAAGATGCGATCAAAGTTTTAATTTTTTTATGTATATTTTATATTAATAGTAAAATTTAAAAAGAAAGGTGGACTTCCTAAATAACAATTTGGCATAGCGCTTTTTTATCTCAATCAGCAACTTTCCTAAACGAGATCTAGTTTCGGTTAGTTAGTTGCCAATCTCCGTCTAGTCAAACTGCAGTAATAGACGCTTTATTCAAGTGTTTTCCCCCGCCTATACAAGGAAAATACATTTTTTTATCGGGTCATAGCAAATAACTTTCCCAAACGGTGGAGATAGGAACTAAAAAAAAATCCAAAAATTATCAATAAGTTTTTTTTTTCTTAAACACCTACGACTATCTGGTATATTCGCTTAGGTCATTCGTAATTTGAAAGAAAATTACCTTTTAAATAGGCAACCAAAAATATAAAATATTCCGGGTTAATAACCAATTCGATGATGTCATTCTATTTTTAAAATTCTGATATCAGACGCGCGTTACCTCACTCGATAAAACAAATCAGAGGCGTAACTTCGCGTGGGTAGTGGAGAATTCTCACGTAATTATTTTAATTCCACTTGATTCACGGATAATATTATCCTATAAAATGTTTCTATCTACCTAAAGTCATAGTTAAATAGATATATTATTAATAGTCTGTAAGAGAAATACTATTACTAATCGAGAAACAAACAACATCAGAAAATGAAACAATTCATAAAATAATGACTATTAACATTTACATCGATTAGAAACAAAAGAGAAAAATAGATTTTTCGAATTTTAACTCAACCGCTTTGCAAATTCTTTTCAAAGCTCCGCCCATGCAAAAAGAAGTGCACTAGACTTTGGCGTATTTGTCAAAACCGAGGCCACCTTAAAAATTGTTGTAATGTTTTGTTCGTTTGTATCGAGTTTACTGGTGTTAAGCGCTACAGAAACGAGACGTGCGTATCCGCTTACCACGGATGTGAATGTGCGTGTGACAAGTACATTAATTGATGGTTAAATTTGACCACTTTACGCTAAATTTAGTGTTGATTTTTTAGTGTTGTCAAAACCGATGCCGGTCAATGTCAAGGAATAGACTTAATCGTGTATGTTATTTTTGGCGTAATATAATTTTAGCATGCTTTAAATTAAAAATTTTAATTTAAATAAAATTAATTTAATTTCAGATAAGACTCCCACAATTATTTATATCACTTATCAGGGTGTGGCAGTGCAATGTTAATTGTTGATTTTTCTGGCATTAACATGTTTTAAACAATGACTTGAATCGCGAAAGCTGATTTCTTCTTGAAGTTTATTATATAATTGTTTTCTTCTTCTCATAAATTTTGTTTTTGATAATTAATATTTTTCATTTCTTGACTCTGATTTTGATTAATTCTGATTTTAAAATTTTATTACCTTGCCTTATAATCTCCCGATTTGAAATACGACTCTATGAAATACAATATTCCGTGAGTATATTTATGTAGAAAAAAACTACTCAGCGGTTTTTTTTTTGGGTAGATAGTTAAAGTATTTATTTAAGTGATAAGCTTTTAACAGTTTGCAAAAAATATTGATCCATTCTATTCCAATTCAAACCAAACATTTTTTTTAGTTTCTTAATGTACAGATACAAAAATGTCTGCTTGTTGTATTTTTGTTTCCTTTAAATAACGGTTTTTGGAAAAGCTAACAACAAATTAGTTCATTTCGACTTTTTCCAACCTAGGTTTTGTTATTGATAAAGAGGTCATGGAAGATAACCAATCTGCTAGGCTCGTCAAACCCTGCAAAATTGTCACCAAGCAACTTACTTACAATGTAAAATTATTCTTACTCTGAGGAACTAAAACTATTTAATTTAAGGAATTCATTGAAACTAAAACATAAACACAATTCGGCCCTAGTTCAGAATGAACAAAATGCGAATAATTTCCGATTAATTAGACCTTAATTCATTTTTATAGTAGGAGTACTGAATGTCGCAGATTTTTATAAATAGTTCTTAAAAACTTAAATTGACTCAGTTTGACATTCTAATGACGAGGAGAAAAGATTTTATTAATCTAATACTGTTTTATTGATTCATTTCGAATCAATTCGCTGCGGATTTTTTGGCTAAACTCTGTATAATGAAAATTTGTTTAAAATTAGTTATGTGCCCGCTGCCGTAATTTTTTTTTGAGGTACTAACTTTTTCAGATGTAATCCTTCACCCCTTCATGATTTCGATTTTCCTTTAGAATTACAACATTACTTCCATCTTTTGCACCAGAATAATTTTGAGATAAATGACTACGAACGACTTGAAAGTCCTATTTTTTAATTTATCGTCTAAGAATTCCCATAATGACCACAGATCTTCTTCTGAATCGTTCGTTTTCCGTTTTATTTTTAGAATCAGCAAGTCGAACTTGACCTACTGCAGGAACGTGTGGCAGAAATTGTCAAGCATGCCGACGAGCGCAACAGAAAGACCATTCAAGGACAAGCAGATCAGGTAAAGGCAGAGATTTTTCAACGTCTTTGAGTTAATCGCCCTCGTGCTTATTTGCAACAAATTCAATACTGTAACCAACTCAAGAAGGTTCTTCCATAAGGCAGGCAATTATAAATAAAATTTGCAGGGTTTATATTGGAAAATACAAAAATAATTAAATTATGTTGTTCCCAAGCAACAGAAAGTTCTTACTACTGTTATTTATTATAAAAAGGTCTGTATTAAGTTCAATATGATATAATTTGATTTTATTTTTATCTTCAACATACAGAACATTGCATTCATCAAATTTATGGTTTTGCTTGAAAAGTTAACAATTTTGTTAATTAATTGATCGAAAGAAACGAAAAAATATTTTGCATGGTCCAAAACTTGAAATAAAATTTTAATTTTAAAATATCGACCCTTGTTTTCAGATGAAGTTCAAAATTGAAAACTTTCAAGTTCAATAAAAATATGTGGAATTAACTCAGTAAGAATATATTAAGGGAATTTGATGGAAGAATCATTAAATGTCCAGAAAGTTGATATACTTTGTGTATGTATTTTAGTAAATTAAAATTAAATAGAAATTATTTTATTTCCTATATCGTTATGAATATTACCGGTTACGTATAATTGCATAACTGATTTCTAGCGAAAATTATTTTTGGGCAGCGGATAGATAATGTTGAATATCTGGCAATATTTTTCAATTATGATTAACGTTTTTTAAAAACATTTGTCGATATTTACAAAAATAACCTTTGCATAAACTTCATATTTTTCGATGGCTCAACACATTTTACAACGAATGGTTGTTTTAGAATATGCAGACCACTTTATAGCGCATTACTTTTTTATTAAATTAGGAATAAAATGGATCCCATATGGTGCCGACTTAATTGAACTTGATATAGAGTCAGTGTCTTTTTTTACTAAAATATAGATTAACCCAGTTTAGATTTACAATAACAAAGTTCCACAAAGTTTAACCTCTGTCCTAAGGTCTCCGAAGATTGGTCATCTTTAATATCAAACCTTGAAGGCCGAAGAGATACTTTAACACGCCTGGCAGAAGTATGGGAAACTTTCGAAGGTCGCTGGCAAAATTTCGAAAGTCAACTCACGAGTATCGAAGAACGGATCAAGCATATCGATCACGTCGTCAGAAGTAGAGACCATGTCATCACCACCAAGAAAAATGTGGAGGTTAGCTACGTTATTTATTGTTATAGTCAGTAGTTTTAGTTTTAGGTCCAACATTTACATAAATTATCAAAATTTTATTCTCCCTCTTACAGGACCTGCAATCAGAAGCTAGAACCCTTGAAGCTCGGGCAACGGAAGTCATTGATCTGTCCAGCTCAGTGCTTCTGTTCTTAAGTGAATGTTCGCCCCCATCTGCGGCATCACTCACAAACAAATTGCAACAACTTGATGAATTGTACAAAAAGTGAGTAATCTGCCACATATTTTGATTCTATCTCGACAAGTAAATGCCAAAAATTATCAGTTATTTTTGAGAATGTATTTTAGTCGATTTGAAACTAACATTTACCATACTCCTCGGATTGTTGCTCTGATAGAGGTATAACGCACTTGCTTTTATTTCGCAGTCTTAATCATTTAAGGTTAAGGTTTTAATAGAGATATGATTTGAACATCGAATATGGAAGTAAATAGTTTTTAACAAAGATGTGGAAAATCGCCGTAAATCAGTACTATTCCAAATGTGTCCTTATGGGAATCGGCATTATTATTGTTTATTTTTGTAGTTTATGAGCTACTAGAGAAAATTGGAACATTGTCGACTTTAAAAAATTGCAATATCTTCCTTGATATGGAAGACATTTTGATTTTGTAAAAATTGTTTCACTGCAACATTTGAACAGAAACGAAATGGCTCATTTCAAATTGGAATCCAAAGCTCTTTCGTCATTTTAAGATACTTCCTGTTAGGGTTTAATTTTAATTGGGATCTCGCGATCTTTCAACTCACAAAATTATTACCTTTTAGATTTTTGATGACACATCCCTGTCATGCTTTTCTTGTGATAATAAAATTATTATTTAGATAGTATTGGACGCCCTGACTAGATCACAGAAAACCAGATCTTTTTTGGAACAAGAAAAATAATAAATAAAAGTTTTACGGCTTGTGTGGTTGTGCCTAAATGATACAACGAGCTCTGACCAGCCAATGAAAGTGCTTATTCGGTAAACTATATATTCTATACCCATTGCTGTATTATAAAAAAAAACTATCCATTTAATAAATTGCAAACAAAGTAAAAAGAGTTTAAAAATCTAAAGTCCAATAGAACTTTCTTACACGTCGCATTCAGAAAGAAATCACTAAAATATAATTCTGGTTGGCTGCATAACTATTAGGGCTTCTCGGGTCTCGTTTGGATATAACATCAGCATTGATATCAAGATGTCAAACTCAAACGCAGCTACTGCAATGTAATTAATGTAAATTAATTTAGTAAAACTATGCGTGTTTCTTATATAACATTTTCGCAACAAAAATTCACGTTGATAAAACCCATTTAGGATTTGGGCATCGAGTCTGAAATAGGAGATCCCTGGAATCATGTTTTTTCGGACAACCAAAAGTGGCCTTTCATGTTACAGTCGCATATTTGTTTTCAAGTACTAAATAGAAACTATGTAGTATCTAATCTCCCAATCTCGACACTAATTATGGGGATGTGTGATTAAATAGAACATAATGCAAAACCCTTGGAGCCTCGAAACTCAGCTCGAATCCGCTAAACAATAGTTTGAACTGTTTTGAGAAATACAGGGCGTCCGATTTTCGATTATTTTCACGTATTGATTCACGGATGGAAAAAAAAAGTTGAAAAAATATTCCGGGATATCATCCTTTCGCTTGTTGAACTCCGACTGAAATTCTGCATCCGCCTGAAATCCTGCATCCGACTGGAATCCTGCCGACGTTTCGCCAAGATCTCACTTGGCATCCTCAATGCTCGCGCTCCGCGATGTTTGAAGTGTTTTCAGAGCGCGAACATTGAGGATGCCAAATGTGATCTTGGCGAAACGTCTGCAGGATTCCAGTCGGATGCAGGATAGCAGTCGGAGTTCAACAATCGAACGGATGATATCCCGGAATGTAGTGTCAACATATTTTTCTAAGGAGGAATCCAGAAGATTTGTAAATCGAATTAGAGTAGCTTTTGGAAGTTTCTTTAAAGAACATTATTTGGAAGCTTTAAACTTGCTAAGGTGTGATTGCTATTTTGAAATTGAATAAGTTAACCTTAAGACTATATGAGGTTCTGTAGGTTAGAATAAAACTACTAAAATAATAATTTTATTATCAGCATATCAAAAAACATAGCAGGGTTGCGTTATCATAAATCGCAAATATAACAATATTAACAATACTTTTTTAAGTCGTAACATCGCAAAAATATAATTTAAATTGCAGATTCATAAAAGAAGTATCTAAAATCAAATGGGCATAAAAAACAAAAATTTGATAAAGTTTCAAAATCGAAATATCCTTGATATTAATGATATGAGAATAATGAATCGCAAATGATATGGCAAACTTTGATAAAAAAAAAGAATCAGTGTTCCTGAGTAGCTCAGGAACTATCATAACTAAGTACCATTTTTCAGGAATGTGCTATTTGTTTCTGCGCCTCAGTGATATGGTCCGCATTGGTGGGTCGAAAACTGGTTCTGTATTTCATGTTTTTTTTTTCATGATTTCGCATAACTTTTAAAACTTTCAATATTTGAGAGAACTAATTTATGGAGGTGAGGCACTCACTTGAAAGAAAAATAAGACATGACGACAACCTAAGTGCGCCAATTTTGTTAAAGGAAACCTCATTACATAATCCGGGGACAAAATTTTTTATTTAGGCTCTGGGATTGGATGTCGGCCAAAACGTTTTTAGTTCTCGTCTATAATAAATGCATTCGTCCGCGTTTTAGAAATGTATTTTAGGAAACATTAGAACAGAATTAAAAATGGAGTTTAGGTTGTGTTCCGTTTACACAATTTACGTGCTTTTATCATTAGAATTGATTTTGTGATCAACTAACGAAGATGCAAATGTTTGAGTATTTTTGGCAAGCTTTGAACATGATCTACGTACACAGTTTAAGTTGTAAATTTGGTTCCGTGTCCATCTATTTTTCTTGGTTAATATCCTATCCGTTGCGAAAATATCAAAAAACCGCTTTCTCTAGCTAAAGCCAATTTCGCCAGAAAGAAATTCCTTACTTTTTGGGTAGCATTCAGTGCGGCTCTCAGAATCACTATACAGGGTGAAATCAAAAAGTTATCGGATCCTACTTTATATTAGCATAGCACTTCCAATCATTTACTTTTGTTTTAAATCAGTACGTGCTCGACTATGGCTAATCGGGTTTCTATTCTATATAAAACAGCAAATACTAAGAGGAGGAAGACTTCATAAATCCGTGTGTAAAACAAATATTACTTTAAAGGAACAAGAAGAAATAATTCATTAAAATAAAATATTTGAAAAATAACTTAAATTAAGTCTTAACTCGCATAACGCGAATTTTTGATTAGTGATACAAGATATGATAAGATATACAAAGCGCCATACGAACATTAGCGAAAATTCCTAAAACAATCGTTTTAACATAAAATAACAGATATATATTTTTTAAATTTTTATTTAAAAGAAAACTGTTAAGTATTAAGCTTGTAGTATTTAATATGGTTACTTATTTATAATTTATGTTATTTTGTATATTAGAACATTTTTGGATTCTACGCAAGTTTCTAGGAAAATTTCATATATAATGGTCTATACCTATATCTAATGGTTTTTGACATATTTAAGTTTTTATCTCGAATATGTCATTTGCAGGCCCTAAGAAAAATACCAATTTTTCCAAAAAGAAAATCTTTATTTTTTTAATTTGGGTTTAACACCTTGTTGACAAGACATACTTAAATAGAATTTTTATAATATTTTGATAACTAATAATACAGGGCGTTCAAAAAATACTGAGAAGTTCCAAAAATCTTTTTTTTTTTTAATGGAAAGCCCAAACCCCCAGACACGTCGTATATATAGTTTCCATTTTATTTATAGCACCACTAACTATGTTAGATCCGTTGCTATCAAGTATTTCCTGCCTTATTCTCTCTTTTAAATTCTCCCTATTTTCAGTCCGATTTTGGTAAACTTTATTTTTGAGGTTTCTCCATAGTAAGAAATCTAAAGGCGTCAAATCAGAACTACGAGCTGCCCAAGGTATTATTCCGTGACGACCTATCCAAGTTGGAAATCGGTTGTTCAGCCAGTTAATTACGGAGCACTATCTTATTGTTTAATTTGTTCCCGTAGAGCGTCAATAAGTGGATAAATCTGCGTAGCTAGTAGGTTTAAATACCGATTACCATCAATATTGCCTTCATAAAATATTGGTCCACGTTTTTTAGATATTATACCGCACCAAAGAAATACACTTCTGTAACCCTGCTTCTGAATAATTTTAACCCGGTGTTTTTTACTAGTAGACCAGTAGTGGGTATTTTTTCCATTAAAGATGCCGGTCGTATTTCAAATATATTTGATTCAAAGTAACGGTCCACATTAGAGCGCAAAATGATGCTCTTGCACTCTTATCCTCAGGTGTTAATAACTGAACAGGGAGGAATTTAAATTAAAAATAATTATTTACTCTCGGCATCTTGACTTTTTATTTTTTAAAGTTTGAAAGTGACCAAAGTCCACTTTTTATTGACAATGTCAACAAGTGCGGCCCAAAACCTTGAAATCAGTGATGAAGGTAATTTAAATTACGTTTTGATATTAAATTGAAATTTAAAAAATAATATTTAAATTAAAGAAATTATCAAACCCCTGGGAAAGGATACAATAACAAGATTTCCTGATTCTGAAAGTGAAGACAAATGAAACTCATACAACAGATTTAAAAAAAGAATGAGAATTTTAGAGGTCCATTCTTCAACAAAGAAAGAGGAAGTAATTGAGAACGACAATTTACAAAACAGCACCTTCAAAGAAGGATTCAGAGAACACAGAAGTCGTACTTATTGGTTGTTCGGAAAGTCATTTCGTTTTTTTTGGGGAACATGAAAGACAGTTTTCGTATAATGAATAAATATTTTATTAAATTATATATTGGCCATTCTGGTCCAACACCTTTTGCCATCTTTCTGGCAGTAACATAATTCCCCTCTCATAAAAGTTTTGGTCCTTGCTGGCAAAAAACTGGTTCAGGTGGTTTTTGACATCTTCATTTGAGGTAAAAGTTTAGCCATCCAAAAAATTTTGCAGGGACCGGAACAAATAGTAGTCGGAAGGCGCCAGATCTGGAGAATATGGTGGATGTTGCAGTACGTCCCATTCAAGTTGTAAAAGTTTTTGGCGAGTGACCAAACTTGTGTGAAGTCTCGCATTATCCTGG